CCCAATTCTAACTCAGGAATGTCGACGAAAGAACCAAATCCAATTAATCTAGCCCACTACTTTCACCACCAATAAATATGCAAATCAAAATATAGTTGCACTAATTGCATAAATAAAATTGCCCAAATGTGAAAATTTTAAGAACACAGAACAGTGTTAGCAAGACTTAAATCATCAGCATTATGATAATAGACAGGTAAAGGGTATAAACTATCTCACGCAAGGGATTCATGTGTTCCGAAAAAATCCTGGAAACCCTCAGTCACGACAAGTAACGCCTCAGTTTTCACATCCAGTCGTCTAGGTGCCTCTCATTCACATTGCATGGCAACTTCACTGCCAGTGAGCCTCAACTGGAGCCATAATTATCAATGTGCACAGTGCACCCTTCTTTCTAAATAAAGTCCCACTCTTCCAGCATGTGAAAGAGCATTGGAGCCCTTCCCATGCTCAAGCAACCATCAGTCAAGTAGGCAATACCTCGTTTTTACCATAGAGTGAGAATCCTTTGGGTCCCAAATTCAATTGAGATACCACATCCCTCATAAAAAGCAAATAAAGATTCCCTAACTTGGGAAACTAGATCGGCTTCGGACAATGAGATCAAGACACACCATCTGGCACAACAGAGGGCAAACTTATCCTCCTAATAATCCAGACATTAAATGCTCTAGTCTAGAGAGAAAATGATAAAATATTCCTAGACACAATTAAGACGTGATATATACATAATGGAGAAGCTGAAGCAATTGAACAGTAAAGATAGTGGTAGTCTAGCTCTTTTCAGGGCTTTATATAGTTAAAAAAAAAAAAAAAAAAATTGGTTAGGTAAGTAATCGCGCACGCACACAAATGTCCAAAACAAGACTAGAACCCCTCGCCTCCCCTTTGAGGGAGGAGAGATTATACAATTGGCGCTGGGCCACTGGCCCATTGGTACGGCAATATATAGTAAATATTAAACAAATTATTTCCTCTGAAGGAAATTCAGCTAAAACTCATATTTGAGACCACTAGAGTATACCTTTTGAACCCATTTTGGAGGCACGCTTTCCATTTGATACCAAGTCATCTGGAGATGGGACATCAAACTTGAAAGGGGCTGTTATCATCAAAGTATTTAAGGATGAAAATGATTAAGAAAAGACAGTTTTTCTCAGAATGAATCCAAAAATAAATAAGAGCTGAAAAAAAAAGAGAAGAATCATATTCTACAATGTAAGATAATTAATGTTAAACATTAGGGATCGATATCCTGTGTTAGAACATGTGCAGACCTATATTGAAATGGTAATGGTTTTGACTGCTAAAAGCCTTATGAATTACATGAAAATTTCCTTGGATATTTCCAAGCTTGTGGAAGTTATTGCACTCCTCCGTTGAAAAATCATCTTTCTGTTGTTGATAGGTCACAGCCTTTTTGGGTATCCGATGCAGCAATGATGCAAAAAGAGACTTGGCCATAATGGATGCTCCAGAATCTTTGCACATGCCATCAGCTGCATGAAAAAAGATCTATTCTATAAAGGGGCAATGAACATGAGATTAAGCCCACGTAACAAGGATGCAAACTTAGGTGCTGGTGCCCAAAATAGATGCAAGCTGTCTTACACGGTCACCTTGAAAAACATATGCAACAAGGATGTGTGACTAAGTGGTAGGTCAATCAATGATTCGGATTTTGCTTTGAATTCAATCACTAGTCCAAATCTTACTAAGGATCCAAATTATATTATTAACAAGTAAATACAACACTAAATAAAGGGCGGTCTGACCCAACAATAATATGATTTACAGAAGATTATTATATAATACATATATTTTAGTATAGAATTATATTGTTAATAACTTGATGTGAATTCTAATTTTATTGACGTTTGTTATTATAACACAACATAATCTATGAAGCTCATACAGTTAATAACTTACCAAGTACAATCAAATTACTAAGATTCAACACAATCTAAATTATTGGATTGGAGCTGATTCTTTACAGATTCAAATTCTTATCTCATAGTTCAGTCAGATTATCCTAATGAGCAATCTATTGAGCTTCAAGCACTATCAAAATACTAAGATTCAATGTAATCTAATCATTGGGTTAGAGCCAAGTCTTAGCAGTTTCAAATTCTTATCTCAATCAGACTATCCTAGCAGGTGGTAGATTTAAAAACTTACTCTGTCAAATGTGTGGTAATATGACTACAACACTGAAAATTGCAGAGAGGAAAAGTACCAAATAGGATAGGAACAAAGAAGTAAAGAACAATCCATACAACTCAATTCTACAAACTTGAGAAAATAATCCAAAATGAACAAAGAAACTCTTGAATACCTGTATTCTTATTGCCGTTGCAATAAATGTTAACTGAAGGATTACGAAGAGTTCCGCATATATCACATGCAGACATACTCTCTTCATTATCAAATGTACAAATTGATCAACGCCAAACCCCAGGCCTAATGCTGTTATGGTTTGTCTCGGGTGCTACAGCTGCCGCAACAAGTATTCATCACATAGTTAATGAAATAGAATGTAAAATAGGAACTTCATGAGCCTAGAAACTTTTCAGTGGGACAACTACATATATATATATATATATATATATATATATATATATATATATATATAATATATCGGATAAGAGACAACTATATGTGTGTGTTTGTTTTTCCAACTTATCACCTTACTGTATTGCTTCCCAAAATTTCTTCATGCAGCTAGCTATTAACTAATATTCAAAAGAACGAAGAATAGGATGCCCAAAGGTGCAAAAAATAAAGGACTTTTTTAGTTATACTACATCATATATTAAGAATTATACAGAAACAACCTCTAATACCCTCGTATTTCCTAAGGAATCAAGTTGATTCAACAATGTCCATCGCAAAGATATCTAAAATTCAACTCAATTCAACAAAGCCTTTTCTCAACTATTTGGGTCTGCTACATGAATACGAATCATGTTCTTCATTCCTCTCTATTTAGGGCGATGGTCTCATTCAAAACACATATTGGTCTATGCAGGTATACATTAATAGAGATATCTCTACATATATACATTTTCCTTAAAGGTGCATATAAACAACTTGTATATTATGACAATCCTCAATACCCATAAAACCGACTCTGTAGCTATCAAGCTATCTCAGGTATAGAAAATACGACCTATAAAAGCCTCCTAAAGGTAAAATCTTGAATCAAGAAAATTACTCACGGTTTGCTTCTGGGTTAGAACCATAATCATCATAATTGTAATCTTCGTAGACATCATAGTCTTCATCATAATTAACTCCATAATTAACTTTACGAGGCATGGTCCTAATTTTTATTAAAAAGAAGAAGAATCCCAATTAGATATACAAATCAACATAACAAAATCTCATATAAAACAGAAGCTAAACTGCATAGAACAATGAGAACTTTTCGCATTCAAAAAGAGAGAGTTAAAATCTAACCAACCTTAATTAAGCTGATGAGCACACCACCATCAAGGGAACATAATTTCACATCTAAATCATGCACTAGGTAATCGTCCTATAGAGTTGGTTAATTCTTTGCACCACCCAATAGAATTCTTGATTTATTTAGATGGCAATCCTTATCAAGTCTAGGGCTGGCCTACAAGCCAGTTTAGCAGCTGGAGAAATTAAAAACATTCCCATCAGTATAAACAACACCAACCGAAGAATTAAACATTGAAATCCATTTAATTATTAAAAAAAATAGCAAAAATCAAATTTTTACAACTTTTTTTTGCTTTGAAATCCATTGTTGGTCCAATCAATAGTACTAGAATGGACTAACTAAATATAAATCTAGAGTCTAAAATTTAGTATTATTTGCAAAAATAACTACCCTTTGGCAGTAGGGTTTACCACTCCAACAAATAATAGCCTTGATACTTTGGCTCCCAAGAAATCAAAATAGACATTGAAAACGAGATTGCTCACAAATCCAACAACTAAGTTCAACTATGCTGGAACTTAACAGATACTTTGGTGATTATTCTCAACCCTATTGAATAGATAACGCCTAGTAAGCAATATATATATATATTCAATTAGGTCCTTAACAAATACATAGTCAAAGCAAGTTAAGCTTTTCACTTTCTTACAAAATGAAGAAGGAATAGAGAGGTACCTGAGAGGCTCGACTGAGAATGTTCTTCAAAAAAGAGAAGGCTCTAGAAAGTGATTCGTTTCTCTCTACTTTCTTGATTGTGATATTCATACAACAATTCCCTGGGAAATTCGGATTGGGACAATCTCGATGATTTGGACATCTCTAACCTCTCAGCCAGATTCACTGCTCAAGCTTTATAGATCTTCATCTGAAGTTTCCTAAACTATGTCGGACTTGGTGGCTGTTTGGCAATATATTTTTTTTTTTTTTCATTTTTTCTTTAGGAATAAAATTCGAAACTTGGCAAACCGTACAAACACAAAACTCGGCCACTAAATTTTATTTATTTATATAAATATATGCACAGGATAATTTTACGTTATGCCCCCCTAAAATTATCACATTCTGATAAACTATCTAGTTCTTTCCTCTACTTTTTCTTCAATTTTTTTTTCAATTTTTTTTTTTTTTATTCTCCTCTAATAAATTTGCATTCCTTTTCTTTAATCAAAACCCTAATTTTTTCTTTCATAATTCACTCATTTATATATATTTTTATTTTCTTCTTCTTTGTTTTTAATTTTCTTTTCTTTCAAAATTTTTTTCTTCTTACACTCATGTGTATTGCCTTGCTTAGTTAGATTTTTTTTTTAAATGATTGATATGCTCCTTGAAATCAAATTCCTAACTCTATCTCCAATAAGTCTTATATAAAATAAATATGTAACAATCTTGAAAATATATTGGTCCCAGATTATTGGCTGATGCAGCTCAAATTGTTGTCTGTATGCATTTATGATCAGACTATAAAAGATCCTCATATTTTAACATTGGACCCTTTCTCATAAAATTAAAACCACAGCAAGAAGAACAGTCACCATAATGAAAGAATTAGATATAAATCAGGTGATTCAGATGCAGAAATAAATGAAAACAGATCATACTAAAGGCATCAAAAGTTGAAGATGTGTAGAAGTATGAGATGGAGTCCAAATTGTTATTGGACATGGAGAGACAAAGGAGCAGAAAACCATACAGAAAAAACTAGATTTGCATCACAATCCCATCTGCTTCATCCACAAGGACCACTTAACAGCCTCTAAGAACTTATCATTCTTTCGCAGAGCGGTGATCAAATTAATATAGGTCGTTCTATCAGGCTCGATTCCATTTTCTCTCATTTCCTTAACCAGACCCACAGCATCTTCAACCATTCCTGCTATTCCATATGCCTTTATCAAAGTGTTATAGCTGCACAAATCAGGTCCTACTCCAGTTTCTTTCAGTTTCATCAATACACTCGCAACTTCTTCAATCCATCCTTGCTCTCCGTAGATATTAATCATGATATTGTAGGTATAATGATCGGAAGCACAACTTGATTCCTTCATTTTCTGCAACACACTCCTAAACTTCTCCATTTGGCCTTCCTTGCCATAGGCATCCAGCATACAATTGTAGGCTTCAAGAGAAACCATAAAACCATTAAATTGCATTTCTCTAACGGTTAATGACATATTCTTTATGTCCTTAGTGTGCCCATATGCAGCTATAATAGTATTGTAAGAGATTACATCAGCAAAGCCTTGTTTTCTAGCCATCAACAGCACCCTCCTAGCCTTCTTGAAAAGCCTTGATTTTCCATAAACATCCAGCATAACATTGAAGGTCATGGTATTGGGTGTAAAACCACGCTGAAGCATCTCATCGAAAAGTCTTGAGAGCTCATCGACTGGCAAGGCATGAGCACAGCAGTTTATGACACAGTTATACATTTCCTGATCCCAAGTGACTCCAATCTTCATGATTTTGTAGTACAGATCTGCCAATTCATCTAATTTGCCAAGTTTTTGATATATACGGAGCATATCACGGAGTAGGTAAATGTCTGGAATAACATTCTTTTGTTTGTCCATTTTATCCAAAACAGAGCAAGCATCATTAAGTGATCCAACTTTAACATACATTCTTACTACAATGCTATAGGCAACCATGTCCAAGGCAGTGCCAGAAGACTTTAACTTCAGGTAAAGGTCCTCCGCTTCTGTGAATCGGTTCATGACACTGTAAATGTCTATCATTGTGCAGATAATATGCAAGTTGGGCTTGTTGTCAGACTTCGGCATATGAGTGTATATCTTGACAGCATTCTCAAGATGACCTCCCTCCTTGCATGAGCAAATTAAAGTATGATACAAGTTATCCTCAAACACCTGATCCTTCCACTGTTTGTCCTGCAAGACTTTTATTGTATCATCTACCAAGCTGTGTTTCACATAAGACATGACCAGAATTGAGCATGAGATCTGGTTATTCAGAATATGTTCAAAAAAGGTACCTTTCAAAACGGAAGGCACCTTATTAAACCTCCCGGCTCTCTCATATGCTTGTAAAAGAATACCAAGTATTGAGGAATACTGACAACCAATTCTTATCATATCATTAATAGTTTCCACAGTACCCTCTTCATCCTCATGGTTGGCTTGTAAATTTATCATCGTGTACAAGTTAGACGAGTTAGGCTTGAATCCTGACTGCTTGAGCTCCTTATAGAACCATCTTGTCTCCTTATAATTGTTGGCTCGACCCCAACCTTCAATCATGGACCTGTAAGTTGTTTCGTCAGGCTCTAATCCGGCAATCTCAAGGTTCCGGAATAGGTGTTGCGCATCATCCATATTTGATACTTTTCCATACCCAGTGATCAACGTGTTATATGCAATTATATTTGGGGAAAACCCAGCTTCTTGCATTGATACCAAAACCTGCTCAGCCTCCTCTAACATCCCTCGCTGACTATAAGCATTAAGCAAAACCAACCAATTCTCCACATTCAGAAGTATCTCATCTTCTCTTAAGAAGTCTATAACAGCTTCTGCTTTTTCATACAAACCTAAACGGGTATATATTGTGATCATTGCTGAGTATGCAGATTGACATTTAAGTTTCAAATCCCTCATTTGAGAGAAAGTAAACTCCGCCTCCTCAACATTCCAACCCTTCTGGTAAAGACTCATGAGCATACCAAAGGTAGCAACATTAGGACGAACCCCATTCTCCGACATCAAACGAAACCACTTTGCACCCATCTCCACTAAACCTCTCTTATGGCAAGCATAAATAAGGGTATTGAAAACTTGAAAGTTGAGTTCACAAGCTGAATCAACAGTCATCTCCAAAATCGTCATTTCTGCCACATCCCAAGCCTCTCTCCTTGCCAACACTCGGAGTGCCAAGTTATAAGCAGTTCTGTTCTGCTTCAACTTTCCATTGGTTCGCATCCACTCAAAAAATCTTAGAGCTTTGGCATCACTACACCTCTCAAGCTGTTTCAAGATGAAGTTGCAACGCTCCAAGCTCAAGTCAGGCCCAATAGCACCAATATCAACATCAAACACATTTTCACCATCATACATGGAATCTATACTATCCCTTTGTTCATGTTCATGTTTATTATCATTCCTTCTAGAAATTGCCTTAGAATTGACATCTTTAATTACTTTCCTTACACCCCGAAACCTCCTCCAAATATTTCTTCGACCCTTTTGAATTTCCTGATAGAAGTTCGAGTTTTGCATATTTGAGCTCTCACAAACAGACCCATTACAATTAGCAGAATCTTCAACTTGATTTGGTTCAAAATTGTCTGACAACTCAGTACCTATCCGAGAAACCCTAATATGCTTGAGCTTACTAAAAGGGTTCACAATACAGGCACCAGTTACATGTAAATAACCATTAAAAGAAGAAATTGAACATCGATCAGACGGTTGCAAAGAGTTAACTGAGAAATTAAACTTCTTTGATTCGTATGTATCTGGTGATATGTAGAATTTCAGAGAAGCCATGACTTAAAAGGCCGAAAAGCCATCAATCCATTATATTCATCGAGTCTATCTGAAATTCAATGTAAATGAAATGCAGATTTCAGATAGAATAAATATCCTGAAATTCTAGGTTGAGTTTGACAAGAATAAATATCCTGAAATTTTAGGTTGAGTTTGACATATTAAACGGACATTATTGAGAAATGTGAACTTCAAAAGCGAGATTATTGTAAAGAGAGAAATCAAATTATAGAGAGAGTGTGAATCGAGCATACCTCGAGAGACTGCTGAGATAATGGACGTTGAAGCAGTGGACGAAAAATAACCGCTGTTCGATTTATTAAATACATTCAGTATATAAGGAATAAAGTTACTGAACAAGACAGGAATGACATAAAATAAATAAATAAATAAACAAATCAAAACAAAGAAGTGGAATTATTTTTGGAAAAATTACACTAACCTCCCTCAGGTTTGGAAAAATTACAAATGAATAGATCCTTTGACCTTTATTATTTTTACCTCCTCAAAGTGTGAAATGTCAACAATATATAACCCTGCCTAAATTTTTATTTTTTAAAAAAAAGAAGAAGAAGAGACAAACCTAATCAAATGTCATTAAAAAAAATTGTAAAATTTAATAATATGAATTTAATATGAAAATTAATATTTTACATTTTATCATAATATAAGGCTATTGAAGCCTTTTAATTCAAAGAAATGGTAACTTAGTTATTTTTTTAATTTTTATTAACGAGAAAGTGTTGTTGAGCACGCACACTAAATCTCAAGACAGGTCAAAGTAATATAGATCAAATGTTATACATTTGTGTAATTTGTCCAAACATCAAAGAATGTAGATATAATTTACTCATTATTTTACTAGTACATCTTGCGCACTTTTTTAAATTCAAATTTTTTTTAACTAATTTCCTCAATTCTATTTTGTAAAGGTAATCATTTAATTTTCAAAACTATAATAGGGAGTTATTTGCATATATTTTATACTTAGTTGCTTTATTTTTTATATATGTGGAGGTTTTTTTGGAAATGCAATACTAATATTTAGAAAGTTTATTTTGTCCGCATTCTACCATTTTAAAAAATGACATTTAATATTTTGTATGGAAAATTTTATTATTCTTAGGTGATTTTAACTCATAGTTGATCAATATTTTATTAGTTTGCAAAATTCAAATACGTGCAATTATTTGCAAATTATACATAATATTTAATGGACAATAGTTAGAGCATTTCCAGCCGTCTGTTAAAATATTATTGTAAATATTTTTCCTATAGTAAAAAATAATTAATTCAATTTTATTTTGTGTAAATCTATTATAACATATCATATTTACATAAATATATATATACACACACACACACGGTTGGAGATGTTCTTTGGTCCTCATTTATAACATAATCACCACTGATGTGAACCAATAATAAACAAATACGTCATATTTTAATTATCAAATTATAGATGATAATTAAATTATTATTTCTGATTTGGTAAATAAATATCTATTCACCATTTTTTATTTAATAATTAAAGATTACATATCAATTTATTATTAATTTACATTAATTATATTATAAATCATCACTAGTGAAGACCTGAATAAAATCTATATTTAAATTTCGGGTGATTTCTGCGCATAATGTAAACAAACTCAAGTTTACCATTCGTCCAAGACAGTGGACGCGCGTGCGGTTAATTTATACTGATGTTATAATGGTAATGTGTAAAGAAATGTAGTCTAAGGGTCCCTGTAATTTTGAAGAGCTTCAGGGGGTTCCATTTAATTAGGGAAATTACCGAATTGCAAAACAGGACAGCTGTACTGGACCAAAACCAAGGAATAACCGACATAGAACTTGATGGACCCCGCACCCAAACCATTAAAAACCCGGAACCATAGCGCCAAACCGATCTTTCCCTCCCGCCTCCCTCCCTTTCTAAAACCCTCCATCTCTAGGATTCTCTTTCTCACCGACCTAGCTTCCTTCTAAAAGCCCTATTTCGATTTTTTTTTTTTTTTTGGTTCCTGCGCAATTTCGATTGATCACTAGTCATTTAATTGAAGAACCAACTTCGACAAATTGTCAACCTTTCCAAAAAAAAAAAAAAAAGCTTCGACAAATTGTCTCAGATTGGAACTTTCGGTATGTTTTTCTTTTATAATTGTGAATATGTTTTTCAAAGTGTTTAGTTTGGAATTTTTGATGATTCGTTCGTTGGAAATATCTTGTGGGTATGATTCTTTGATGTTAACGTACCATTTAAGGAATTCTATTTTCAGGGGTGAGTTCAATTTTAGTGCATGTTTGTCATATGAGCGTATATATGTTCTTGGTAGACGTGTATGCGCGTGCGTATACACACAAACAGGATATATATATATATATATGTTTGTGTGTGTATATTTATATTGTCATTCTTTTAGGGTTTTTATGTGAATTTGTTTAGTGAAATATTATTGGATTGGATATGTTTCTTGGGTGCTGAAATTAATTGTTTTTGTTACGGTCAGTCTAATTTTAATTCCGTAATTGTAATCACCTTTTGGGTTCTTGATTTCAGGTTCATGGTCTGGGTGTTAAATTTATTTTCAAAATTTATTGTTTTTGTTACGGTCAGTCTAATTTTAATTCAGTAATTGTAACCGCCTTTTGGGTTCTTGATTTTAGGTTCATGGTCTGGGTGTTAAATTTATTTTCTGATTTCATGTACCTTTCGTTTGGAGAAAGTATTTATGCATACACTGTGAAAATTGAGTGAGCGAACTATTTGTTGGTTTGTGGAATAGAATTGTGGCCTTATGTGTATTCGTATTCATAGCCTATATATTTTCTCTAATTTCAGTACTATCCTTCTATTTCCTAGAAAGAAGAAATTCCCTGATTTTTTCCCCTTCTGATGTAAATGCAGACTTAAATATTTCATGGACACCAGTTCTGTGAACCATATTGAAGTTCCCCTTGAAACTGCCTCTGGGGATCCCCAATGTGACGATCCTCAATTGCAGAATGATCCATTGAACCATTTTGGATCAGTGCATTGTTCGAGTGAAAATGCTGACAGTAGGAATGGAGATGCGTACATTAATGAAGATCCTAGTAGTTGTTCTCAAGATTCTGTTATAGCTTCAAAAGCCTTTAATTTGAATAGAAGTGAATTGCCTAAGAAGAATGAGGTCAACTTGTCTAAGATTGAACCTTTGGATGCTTCTGGTCGAAAGTTATCTAATGGACAAAATTCTTCTCAACGGCAGCGTGGTAATAAGATTAACGGCACACCTCCAACTACATCTTCCACGGTTTCTCCTTCAGTTAGGGCTTTAGAAAGCAAAAGACAATCAGGTATGAGGAGTCCAATTTATCTTCTACTTTCAGTGTGTCTTGGTATGAGTAGAATAGAACCCTCTTTCTTAATTACATGTTTGGCTTTGAAAACTAATTCAAATGAAAATAGGAAACCTTGACAAGTAAGGTTGGGAAAAAAAGAAGAAGAAGATCTTATGGTGATGTTTTAGTGTTCCACAGGTGGAACTTTCTGCTAAAAAGTAATAGTAAATGCTCTTAAAGCAACATATTTGGCATTATTCATCTTTAGCTTTTTGAGAGTCTTGCATTTTATTTTTGCAGTGTTTAGCTTAAAGGGAATCTTGCATTTTAACTTTTAAAAAGGTCATTACTTAGTGTTGGTGCCATAAGTGAGGGTGCTGGGTAGCATGCAACCCCAACTTTTAAAATTATTTGATGAAGGTGCTTTCCATATCTTTGAACCTGTAATTTCACACTCAGCATCCCTAGCGTTTACTACTACTCCAATTATAAGAAGTGTATAGGGGTGTTGGTTTGCTTAATTTTTTTGTTCCACGTCACTTACCTATCATAGCTTACTATGTATAGGAGATATAGTTAAAACAGATAAATAGAAAATTGAAAGGGTCATGAAAAAAGTAGCTCATTATTATTATTACTATTAGATGTACAGAGTTTGTACTTAATATAAATAATGTGGAAAACGGATTGTCAAAAATGAAATAAAATTTTTTAATACTAAACACTCCAGTATTCTAGTGGAAATCTTGTGGTTAAAGTAAATTGTCACCATATTAATTTTGAAAGTATAATATAAACCGGCATTGTACAAGTAAACGACATGAGTGCATTATGGGATGGTTGGTTATGTGTTTGAAATACTAACACCTATGGTAGATGATGACAAATTTGTGCTTTGCAAACTTGGGAATACTCAGAATTTGTTAGTGTATCAGGGGAACATGTAATATATTCCAGGAATTATTGAATCATGTAATTGAATCTGGTCAGGTTCAGCTGATGAGAAGCTTGGGTATAATTATGGATTTGTGAGGATGCATGATTATTATCTTGACGATTCTGGGTCTTTTTTAATATCTCAGAAGTTAATTATCTTAATCACATATACTTTTGTGGAGTCCTGATATTTTGTTAGTAACTCACAAGTTTCCATTCCATGTCAAGAAGATACAAAATCAGTGCGAGGCATGTAAATAGACTAGCCCCGATTCCTTATACATGTTACCTCATTATAATGTGTATATGAATGATTGTACTAGTGAACTGTGAACCTTGAAAGGGGACGATATAATTGGTCTTGAGTACGATATTATTTATGTTTCCATTGTTTAACAAAGGCGCAGATTATATTTGAATAGGGAGTTCAATATATTGGTGGCATTCTGATAAAGCATTGTTGATTGATTGATTGCTTTCTGTGGTTATTGTTGAGTAAAATTTTGGCACCCCTGGAAAAGTTTGGTAAACTATTTGGATCTGAACTATGTGGTTGTTACATACCTGTTATTAATCACTTCTTAATTCTTAAATTAATTGTAGTGTTATTGAAATCTTTAGCGCTGCTTGCAAATCAACCAGGTCAAGCTCAGCGGAGTAAGTCAATTCATTTAGGCAACGATCCTCCATCTCATGTTAAGAGGAGGATTCCAGCTCTTAAAGATTCTGCATTATCTATTAAGAGGAGCGGGGCCCAAAAGACTCCAACTGCTCACCAAGTTTGGCAGAAAAAGACCAAGGCCGAACCCTCGGCTTGTCAATCTAAATTATCCTCAAGACATACCGCTCCCACCTACGATATCACTTCGAATGGTGAATCTAAAGGTTTCTAGTTTCTTCTTCTTGTTTGAGTATGTCTAGATATTCAAAATATTTCATAATCCAGCACTATAAAACAGTAATCGAAAATGGCTTCTTTTTTTTTTTTTTATTTATTTTTTTTTATGGCTCATATGCAGGATATTTTTAGCTTTTATCCATATTTATCTTCGCCGAGGAACAATCTTACAAACTCTTTAATGGAACAATAATTGCACCCCCAAAAAATAGTCTCTATCATTGATGAATCTTGTACTGAATATGGGTTATGTTCACTTGAGAAGAGGCTTGGATATGATTTTGTTTTTGTGGGTATTCATGATGTTATCTTGGTGAAACTTGGTTTAATTTGGTTTATCAAAGTAAAGAAGTTGCTGTTATCTATAATCGCATATGGCTATTGCTGGGAATATTATTATAGGAACCTTAAATTACTCCACAGAATATTGCTTTGGAAATATTGTGAGAGTGATTTTTAGTCTATGATAAAATATAATTGGAGTGATTTATGGGATTGATTCTATGAATCCCATTAATGTTTTTTCCATATTTATCGCTTTGTTCTTTCACCTATAAATAGAGGTGCTCATTGTAAACATTCTTAATTATGCTCTGTTCGGTTGGAAAGAAAAAAATTTGATAGAAGGGAGAGAAGAAGGGATGGATGAGACATCCTAGGGAAGAGATTGTGTATTTCCTTCTTTTTGTTCGATTGGATAGAAGAGAAGAGAATAAACTTATAATTTAACCAACAGGTCTGTAGCCTAGCGGTACAAGGCTCAGTGGAGGCAGGCAGTGTGTGTGAGTCCCAACTAGGAAAAAAAAAAAAAAAAAAAAAAAAAACTCATAATTTACCATGTTTGTTAAGAGGAAGGAAAAGAGAAAGTTTTAATTATTTTTACCATTATATCCACTAATATTTATAATATTGTAATTTATAGATGATAATACTGTAATTCAAAACTTGTATAATTTAGGATATTATTTAATTTAAAACTTTTTATAATAGTCCACTTGTCTTCCCTTCATTCTTCCGCCCAAATTTGGGCAGATGAAAATTTGTAAAGGAGGAAGGATGAGTCATCCTTCCTATTTTCCTTTCTTTCCTTGTATCATCTCTACTAAACAAAGGAAGTTTATTTCATCCTTCCTATTTTCTCTCCACACCTCTTCCTTCCTTCCTACTGAACACAGCGTAAGAGTGAATATAATAAAGATGATGTAGCCCTTTGGGCTTTGTGCGTCTATGCTTCATTTTCTATTTCTCTCTTCAATTTTGACATGGTATCAGAGTAGGTTTATCATACCATATACCATACTCATTTCTGATCTATGGATCAACTCGTCTCGGGTCTATGGATCAACTCGTCTCGGATCTTCGGATCACTCGTCTTGGATCTTTGGATCAACTCCTCTCGGATCTTTACAACTCGTTTCGGACTCTCAACAACTTCATACTTAGTTTCAAGTTGGACACTTGAGTTATAATCTCCGTGTACCAACTTGAGAGAGGGTGTTGGAGAATATTATTATAGGAACCTTAAATTACTCCACAGAATATTGCTCTGGACATATAAAATATGATTGGAGTGATTTATGGGATTGATTTTATGAATCCCATTAATGTATTTTCCATATTTATCACTTTGTTCTTTCACCTACAAATAGAGGTGCTCATTGTAAACAATCTTAAGAGAGAATATAATAAAGATGATGTAGCCCTTTGGGCTTTGTGCGTGTATCCTTGTGTGCTTCATTTTCTATATCTCTCTTCAATTTTGACAGCTATCATATAAATCTGATATGTTATCAATATTTTTCTAAACTTGATATGATATCGGGAAGATTAAGAATCATTCTTAGGCACGTAAAATAGACTAGTACTGGTAGATGTCAACTCATTGTATGAGGTATATGACTGATTGTACTAGTGACCTGCAAACCTTGAAAGGGGCGGTATGGTTGGTCTTAGGTAGGGCATTACTTAGTTTTGTTGTTATTTGACAGAATCGAAGGTGAGTGGTGATGTCAATTTATTATTGATTGATAGATTGCTTTCTGTTATAAGTGCTGAACAATTTTGGGTACCCAGGAAAAGACTATCAAGTTATTTGGGTATGAACTATGTGGTTACTACGTATAAATTTACAATAGATCCACCAGTCACTACTAATATCTTTAATTTAACTTTTGATTACTACTGTTTGCAGGTCAACCGGGTAAAGGACAGCAGAGTAAGCCAAATCCGCCATGCAAAGATCCTGTTAAGAGGAGTGGAAACAATAATAATCCAGCTATTAAAGATCCTGTTAAGAGGAGTGGAAACAATAGTAATCCAGCTCTTAAAGATCCTTCAGCATCTATTAAGAGCAGTGGGACCCAAAAGACTTCAGCTACTCAACAAGTATGGCAGGAAAAGACAAAGGCCAAATCTTCGCGTAGACGACGATCTAGAAGATCCTCAAAACATACTGATCCCGTCCACGTCCATCATATCACATGGAATGGTATACCTTTACCTATAATTTTTATTTATTTTTTCTAAATTTTCAAAGTATATCCATAATCCATCACTATGATTCAAATTATAGAAAAAAGCTCATGCTGTGGTTAGAGAGCAGGATTTTTTTATTTTTGCTGTGGATCCATATTTATCTTGGATGCGGAACAGGCTTACAAAATTTGGCTAGTCCTCGTGCCTGGACATTGCCAAACTGTTCAGAAATGGCTTTTTTTTGCAGTTCTTTGTGGCGTACTTGAATTAGTTTTACCACAACTCAGACATATGTGGGTTTGGAAAATCACTCACGCAGTGGGAAAGAATTTACTATTGAACTGAAACATTATCCTGATGTAGGGCAGCTTGTTGGCAGACCCATACAGGCCAACCTCTTGAATAGGAATCTCTCACTCTGGGAAAATGTCTAGGTTGCTCTAGCACATTCCTTCTTAATCCCAAGTGATGCCGAGAACATCCAACAAAAACACTGAAACGAGCATGGTCCTGGAGTTGTGGGCCAAGAATAATTACAGATCAAGAATTACATTGGAGAACAATTTTGAAAACTTGGAATTTTGTGTTCATTACATATTTTTGGAAATTCTATGAACTTGAGGGGAGAAAAAAGGTATCGTTGAGCGGCTGTGAAGCAGTACTTTTTTTTTTTTTTAAGACAAGATAGGATGAGTTGGAAATGTTAAGAGATAATTCGGCAGGTTTGTTGTAGCAGCGAGGTAGATTGATTACTATGTAAATCTTGAATGGTTTGATTTAGAAGTGTTTGGAAGTTTGTCTGCATGGAAACATACTGATGTCCAATGTATATCTGATACGAAAATCTTAAAAAGCTTGTTATCCCAATGAAGTCATGCTATGACATTTTTGACTCCCCAGCTTATTGTTACTCATTAGTTTACAAAAGAAAGTTAACGACAACAGTAAAAATAGAAATCTTGATGCAGCTTAAGATATATGCTTTATTTTTTAATACTGATTTACTATTATTTGAGTACCAATGTTTATCGTCAGTTTGTGCTTGCTTGCAGGTTTGGATGAATTATGTGAACCAGAAGGTCCAGTACCCCTTGGTCTGAACTGTCACATATGTGAAGATGATCTGTCATATGCACCAAGAGACGATGAAGCCGAGTATTATGAAGGATTTGAGCAAAATCTTCCAGAGGTTGCAGTTCTATTATGTGGCCATGCCTTCCATGTCAAATGCTTGCAGTTCCTCACGTCTGATGAAGGATTGAGTGATCCTCAGTGCTACTTGTGTTCCAGTTGCTAGCAATGGAACTCTTTGCCAATTTTTAACCATTGTTGTCCCAAAAATTTTGCTCCTGTAATTAGAGAAATGGAAAAGGAAAAGGAAAAGGAAATTGAAAATTTGAATTGCTACTGCTTGATACAGTAACTTACAATTGTACATGAAAGGGTGATAATATATGCAGCTACTAGTGTGTTCGCAAGTGGTGAATTTGTTAATTTGACTAGACAAATAGCGGAAATTATGCTGCCTTTATTGTTTAAGCCTCAAGTATTTGTAGTTTGACTTCAATAACATTGTCAAAATTAGGCATATTAGTTTGGACCAAAATGTCTTGGCAAATGCTTGTCATTATCGGTTTTTGACATGAAATTATTTGCTTTTGCTTTATATTATTTAAAGAGAATTTGAGTGGAGCTACAACTTTGACTTGAATTTAACTAGTTTTCAAGTTCGTTCCTTGTGCATGATAATAGGAAAATTCAATGCCCTTCCTTGTAAGATGAAACATATGGTCAGCATGAAGCAAAATAGTCCAGGTTTATGCGTGTGAGCAAAAATTACATCACAATCACGAAGGTATTTTGTCTTATTACAAAGTTGTGATTATATCAATCGGTTAGATGGACAATCTATCCTTTTAAAGATGATCCTTTCTTGTTCATGGATCAATCAACCCTTACAAAATGTTATTTGTATGATTGTATCAATCTCTTTGCACCGGCGACCATAACCAGAAAACTTTTGTGTACATTCTGCTCAACGGACATTTGCATCTGCTAGCACAATCTGAAACGATACCAATCCAGACACATTCATATGCAAAGCAAGGTAAGTCTATAAAGTAGAATGGTTCATAGGAAAGAACCTAATTATTAATCATGAGGAGGACTGGTACATTTTATTTACGAAGAGAGACGGTATGTCCTTCATGTGGCATGAAGAAAACAAGCACAGTGGAGCTAAAACACCTAAAAACTCTTATATATGAGACATTTTAGGATTCTTCATCAAACATATTTTTCTGAATCCTAATACTTACGTCCAAGGATCAACTTAATCAGCCAATTACATTCAAAGCATCAAGCTTAGTTCTGACCCACCTTTCTAAAATGCTGAACTAAAAATTTACAATTATGATTGATTCTCGCAAGAGTCTTCTGCAATGTCAAACAAGAACGTTGGCAAGGATGCTATCCGGGGAAGACTAAGCAGTAATTCCCCAAACGAGTCCTTCCTTGACATAGCTGGTGCCAACTTGCAGTCAACAACATCCTTGGAATTCCCTCCAGGAGCACCAGAAACACCTCCAGCCTTGTCATACAGTGAATCAGAAGCGTGGCCAAGTCGTGCATCCTTTCCATCATCAAGACCCTCGGACTGATTTTTGCCATCAACCTGCAAGTTTGGAACTGGGGCAGAGCCCTGCAGGAGGCAGCACAGAGAATTGACCCTCGACATGAGGGATTTCTCATCAAATCCCTCTAACTGACTTTGTTCATCGACTTGTGAGTTTGGGACTGTGGCAGGATCCTGCAGGAGACAGCAGAGAGAATTGACCCTCGACATGAGGGTTTTCTCATCAGAAGATGCTGTAATCTGAGTATCACCGAGCAGGATTTGTGCAATGTTCTCCAGCATGTCCTGGCATCCTAATGATTTGTCAGAGGATGGGTTTCCAGATGTCATTTGTTCTGAAATACAATTTCCAATGTGGTTCACAAGGTCACTCATGGACATAGATGGTCGGAGCCCTGGCACTTTTAACTGTTCCCAATTCCTTGGACCCTTCAAACCATCTCCTTCAGAACTTCCATTCCCTTCAACTGCATGCAAGTCCATCACTAATAAATATTAGAAGGTAATCAGCTACCAGTTGATAATACCGTAGTGTATAGACAGACAATAGTTAAGTGTTTATATGAAATCTATAGACTGACAATATTTAAGTATGTTAATATGAAAGCTATAGACTGACAATATTTAAGTATGTCAATATGAAAGCTAACTGCCACTACAGTATAATTTATTCAGACCTTCAGTCTCCATGTAATCTACAATATCAGATACTAGAGCAGCAAGTATAGAATGATAAATTAACATATACTTGAAGTAAAACTAATCAACTTGATTTTATACAAAAATAACTATTCAGTGTCATGCATACGAGAAGATATACTACTGTACTAATACAATTATTGTACTGCCGAAAAAATTTAAAGCAGCAGCCTCAACTATGCCTAAGAGGCATGATCAAAATTTTCTAGCTGGATCAGACCTCCAACAGTCGAGTACTGTAGTAAATATTATACTACATAACAAAATTTAATTGGGCCATAGAACTTGACGTTCAGGAGTTAAATATATATCAATCAACACATTAAAACAAAAAAAAAAAAACAAGAAGCCTAAATGGATTAATTTACCTGAGCTATGGGACGGAGATTCTAGAGGAAAATGCTCTGGTGCTGTACCAATAGAATTGTGTTCAATCTTCGAGGGAGATGATTGTGCTGCAAAAGGTGATGCTAAATTCTGGAAGCCAGAAATGGGGGTTACTCTGGCAGTCTCCTGTTGATTAGATCCATTGCCTTGGGATTCATCTAGATCCTCAATAACAGCACCTTGTGCTTCAAAATATGGTGAATCCAAGCTAATCTCTGGCTGTCGACTCAAAAAGTTAAGACGCATATCACACTGGATCAGCTTTTCATAGTGTTTGTTTAGCAGGCCCGGCGGGCATTGTAGAAAATGTTGCCTAAAAAACCACAAAAACAGAATTTCACATCACTTCACAAATTCATATAGGTTAAGAACCAGATAGTTTAACGTAAGATATAATTTGTGAACAAATGCATTGAAGAAATGTACATATTATGATATTATTAAGCCATTCACGTATATAAAAGAAGCGTCTCTTTTCAATCAATAACCCAGATAAGCAACCATCAGGAATCCAACATGTCATGGTATATAAAGAAGTAACTTCCTTAAAGGAAAGTGCATGAACCTAAAAAAAAAGGGGTTCCAGTGAAAATTTTTAAATCTAGTAAGAGATTGGAAAAGTCTTAACATTCAATTTTTATTTTTGACCAATAATAGAGCATTTTCCACCAACCAAAGAAGGAGGGCTCTTGCAATGTGGAATCATACTTCATTTCAAAAAATTACAATTTTTGAAGGAAACCTAAGTGCACAACATAGAGAAATGGAATTATTAAGCAGTCAAACTGGTTTTGCAAAGTCATTCTAGTGGCATGAAGTACTCGTGTCAGACAGACCGCACCTAGGCATATATATGAAAAAAGTATCTGACATGTTTCGTCGGCCATACACCTATCAAGCACAAGGTTCGCAATCGTGGACATGGGCATGGACGCGGGTCCACATCAGACATAACATAACAAAACTGGGTGTTGTGATCATAATTTTTTGGGTCAAGTGCATTAAACCCCCCTGAATTTTCTTCTCTCTTTCAAATAACACCCCTAAACTATTAGAAAGACATTTAACCCCCTAAACTATGTAATTTGTTGCAAATGGTTAGTTGTCCATCCAAAATTTAACGCTAAAGGCTGTCACGTGAGGCACATGAATGGCAAAAATTTTAAAATACAAAAATGACCCCAATTACCTTTATATGGATTATATCTATATATCTATATATATATAAAAATATATATACATGTTATATGTCTACAAAATCCCCAATCCCAAGAACTGCAATTACCATCTTGTTTGAATAGAAGCTTCATTCATAGCCATTAGAGGAGAGAGAGACTTTCTAGAGAGAGCTACGGTTTGTGGTTTAAGTTTTAGCTTACTGCCTTCATTGATTTATAGCAACCCTCTCTCTCTCTCTGTATATAGACACACACAGAAAATGAGATGGAAATAAATATATATATATATATAAATATGTATATATATATATAGCAACTGAGAGAGAATGAGATGGAAATAATATATATATATATATATATATATAGCAACAGATAGAATGAGATGGAAAGATGTTAAGGATGAGTTACTTTAAACATATTAGGACTTCAACTTAAACCAAAAACGAAATTCTAACCAAAGACTCGTAGAAATCCTCCCAAATTCAGAGCAAAATGGTAGATAGTATGGATAAGAAGCCTGATTCTCAAAGAGAACTCGCAGAGATTCAGGCAAGCATAGCCGTGAGATTTTGGCAAGCATAGCAGGACGAATTCAGATCGGAGCTCCGCGTCGGAGATTCTCTTAATCTTTTTTCAAATCTTTATTTTTCTGCTTTGATATTTAGATTTCGATCTGAATTCGCCCACCATGACCCCACCATCGCCCGAATCAACAACGGCAGCTTCGGCTCGTGCCCGGCCATCATCGCCGCTCAACAGCTATGGCAGTTTCGATATCTCCGACAACCCTAAGAACTTCTCTGTCGGTGAGCAGAGAGAGAACGAAGAGAGAGAGGAGACCCAAAAACAATAATAAATAAAATAAATAAATGACTAAAGTCAGCAGCCCAATAGGCTGCTGACACGTGGCATAGTGATATAGATAATCCTTTGCCCTTTTTTCTTTTTGGCGTCAGATAATCAATGTTAAGTTTAGGTTGTTATGCTGTCATTGTTTTATTGATTAATGGGATTGCTTTTCCGCATCAGTATATCAAGTTGGAAAACCACACAACAACTTAAGGGCAAAAATGAAATTTAGTTCTTCTGTTAATGGCGGGTTAACAGATTGTCCTTTAGTGCAACATTTTAATAGTTTAAGGGGGTAACTTTTAATTCAAGGGGGTTTCTTGCAATCCGGTGATAGTTTAGGGGTGTTTAATGCACTTAACCCTAATTTTTTTTACCTTGCACATAGCGTTGAAACACAAATTTCTACTGCATAATCTAATAAATATGGGGTTTTAATGAATTTTAATGATTTTCTTTTAATTTTTAAAGATAATTTAATACAAATAGTGATTTATACATGAACTTTAAATTGTCATTGGCAGTAAAGAATTAATAATTTAGACTAGTTACGTATATAAATAAGCAATGATAGACTTAAAGATGAAAATAATGAGGTAAATGAGCAATAATAATAAATTCCACTCAATGTCATTGCTCACACCACTACTACCCACTATCCTCTCCACTTGGGAGAAACATTTTTTACTGAAAATAATACAATACATAACAAAAACCAATAACCCAATGGAACTATATATATATATATATAGGAATACACGATTACAAAACACACGGACAAAAAAAAATATACAAGAAATAAAAAATTAATAAAAAAACAGCAAATTAAGAAAATGACAAAAAAAAATACACATCAAAAATCAAATAAACTTGAACAACCAGGTAGCTCCAAAGAATACTTGTAGAACTTGTGTAAATCTAGCATGTAAGAGAATGATTCATGTTAGATTTAGCCATTTAGGTAAAATAAAACAATAACAAATAAATAAAAACCTTACTGATTGAATCTTGTTTAATGTGAATTAGATTCAAGATCTAAGGCCAGCTATTGTTGACTTTGATGTTTGAGGTTAAAACCTAAGTTCTAGAGAGAGAGTGTGTGCTAGTAAAGTGAGAAAAAAAGGTGAGGAAGTGGTGCAAAATGAGCTGGTTCTTCATTTTTTATCATTCACAGCCGACTCCCCAATTCATCTTGACACGTGCAATTTCATCCCGAGTCACAAGCTAGTCTGAAGTCTCCCCTACTATATAAGCCCGACTCGGCCGAGTTTGCGAACCATGATCAACCATATGTGAAAATTTTCACTATGTATAGTACACAACACTATCATTGTGTTCTTTTTGCTAGATTTTTGCTCAAGTGCCATATTAAACACTCTAAATTACATTAAACCACAATTTCGCCTTAGGAAACAAAAGAAAAATATAAATATTTAACCATGTCCCTTGTTCACGGGTTTGAGGAGTTTATAACCATACCCGACAACATACCCAAGAGCATATAAGATCGGAAGTCAATTCATGAAATATCAAGGACTATATACATCTACCCAGTCTAAATTATCAGTTAGAATCAAAAGCATAGAGATACTAACAAATCATATAACCTAATTATATTACTTTCAAAATCCACATCATATAAGAATAGCCTTGCCGCTTAAAATCGAAGTGATGATTAACATCACAAAAGCAAATGATTTGTTGATAAATTCCAATATTGACATGGAAGTAATCTATGAAGAATGACTAGGTGGGGTAAAATGCAGCTGATTCATCCACATGATCTTGTGTCTGGAATAGTGGCTGGAAAAAGAGAGAAAAAGGACACTGTCCAAGCAAGAAAAGAATAGCTAGTGACATTCACTTTCAAATAAAGTAAGATAAGCTCATTCAATTGTTTTTACCTATGTATGCTAGCCTCTCCATCAGTAAAATCTGAAGTTGCCTGCCACAATGTGTGCTTCCTAGGCTGAGGATTGGTCTCCCTGAAGAAAAGGGGTTGCCTAGCCAGCTGCAACACAGAAGAAATAATCGTGTCTATATAAACAATATTGTACAAAAATAATAAGAATAATAAGCACATATATTCAAGCACAGGTGCACAGACAGGAAATAGAATGCGCAGATCAACATCATAGAAAGATTACCACGGCAATCAAAGTTCCAGGACCATTATCAGGGCAGTTGGCCTTCAGAGCCACGATATCGGACCACTGGATCTCTATTTTACTCTTAAGACCACCATCGAGAATTTCCCACACAAGCTTGTGCTTCGCAAAGTAACACTTCGCCACTAAATCACCTTCATACCTTGACACATACTGCCACCGGATATGGTTTCAGATACTTGCACAAAAAGTTAATATTTCTGAATACAGTAGCCCAAAGTTTATTAAGTTACCTCCCAGCGCCCAATCCTAAGAATCGAAGCAGGAAAGTTTGAGGCCTTCAGCTTGTCTGTAGCAACTGGTGAAGTGGCAACCTTCACATCCTTCTGGCCTTGCAAGGTAAGATTTCCACTTGGTGCAGCGCCAAGAGAAGCATCACCTTGTGAGAGCTTCATTTGTATTAAATCCAACAATGATGGGCTCTTCCTGAGCCGCAAACCCAAAGGACTTGGCTCATTGAGGGGATTGTATTGTGAAGGTGGGACTTGGGTACTACCAGTGCTCCACTGTTGATTAGTACAAAAGGAATGCAAAAAAATACAATTTTAATCACCACCAAATAGAAAAAGAAATAAACAAAAAGCAAAAGCACTTCAAAATTTTCCAATACAACTATAAACTTAAATCTATACTATGAGTATGAAATAATCCAAGCCAGAATTTTATATCCACAATCGCTTATTAAATTTCACAAACTTGCTACAATGGCCTTTTCTTATGTTTCTAAAATCTTACCATGAAAGTCCAATGCAATGCATGTGTGCATATAACCTACAAAACAAACCATCTGAAATACAACCCAATACAACAAAAGAACTACTTTAATAGAATCTAAATTACGCAAGCTTAACACCCAAAAGCTAATTCCACATTAGCTGCCCTCACAAAGCGTTGTAGCATCAACTTCAACTGCAGAATTGCAATAATCTCGTGTATAACATACAGAGAGTCAGCAAATCTTATTAAAAATACATGGACATCATCATAAACCTAAAAACTTCGATATTTAAACAACATAAACTGCTTCTGGAACCGCTAATAATTCATTTGGTTGCCGAGAATACTGGGTGAAAAGCACAGAAAGTTGGATCGATTACTTTTGCGTTCAACTGATTTCAAAATTAAAAAAATAAAAATAAAAAAAGCCTAAAACTAACGCCATAAATTCTCTGCTATTCCTACTTTTTTTTTTTAAAAAAAAAATCTCCATTTCCTCAAATTTCAGCATTGAAAAGTAATTTCCCTTTCTTACATTATTCTCAACTACCAAACAGAAAATCACTTAAAGTAAGAAAACCAAACCTGATTGATAGGTGAAGAGATCTTAGACCGCTTGTTGAGAGGCCCGTGTTCCTCTTCTAGGGTGTCCTCGATCTCTAACTTCACCGGGAACTTCTCGGGAAATGACGCCGACTCTGTTCCCGGTCGAAAATTGCCGGATCTCATCAACTGGACCATCAAGTTCGAATCCCCGACCAAAAGAAGAAAATCGGATCACGAAAATTCAATTTACGGTGGGATCGAAAAATTCGAAGCCCTAGATATCTACTGCTTGATCTTTCCGAAAAGATTTCGACGAAGTTTCCCGAGAAAACCGATCTCCGGAGATTCCTAGAAAATCCTACAAAAGCTTTTTCTATTTCAGGCGGGACATAAACGGAATAAACAGGTGTATCGATATATATACTCGTATATAAATAATATACTATTTGTCGTTAGGGCAACTTGACGGTGTGCAGCTTTGACGGGCAAGGATTTTACCTGTCGCTCAAAATGACTATAATAGCCTTCTTTTCTAGAAGGCGGTGACTCGAAAGTGGTGGTCAGTTTGGAAATTTAAGCAATTGCATAGAGTCGGCTAGCACGTGCAAAGCAGATATGTTTGGTAACTGGATATTGTGGACCCAAGTCTAATAGAAGGACGGTGCTGATGTTTGTGAGGTGACACGTGTCCGTAGATCCGGGAATAGAGAGACATGTTTTTCTCTCGATCTGACACGTAGACTTTTGTATTAGGCAGTTTTACTGCTCTTGGCAATTGATTTACTGCCCTTGATTTTCTAGACGTTCTGCCATATGGAGGGAAGATAGAAGATGGAGCTGCTGATATGAGGAGGAAGAAGAGGAAGGAGTATGTTAGGGGTGCTTTGGTCATAAAAATAGTCAGGAGGTCAAACGGTAGTATAGTCATTTATCACTTCAAAAGTATTATGGCCCCATCAAAAATTGATATTTGGAGTGTAAGTGAAATGTTAAACTACTAATTCAAATATAAGTGAAATTTAAAATCAAAATGTTAATCTAACTGAAAAATGACCTAATCTTAAGGGGTCAGAATGTAATTTACACGCATTTTTTTGCTCACGTCCGGGCTCGAACCCCTCCCCTCCTTTTTGAAGATGGGGAGGTTATACCATTAGGCCAAAAGCCCTTTGATTATTAAGTAACATATTGTCATCGCCAAAACTCATTTTACACTAAATTTTAATATGTAAAATGTTGTAATACTTTAATTATTTAAAATTTTATAATCTCTGTTTATTTGTCAGTTTATTTGACTATTTTATATATTTTAAAAGTAAATTTTTTAATATAAAAATGAGAAAAAAAAAAATAGCAAAATTTACGATTATAGAATTCAAACCATCATGTAACTTTATAACTAATTCAATTATGCCAATATATATCTTCAGTTACAATATTAGCAAAGAAAAGCACATTAGAGAGAGAGAAATCTAGTGTAATTGTTTGTTTTATTTCTTTTCCTTCAATTGACAATTTGTTTACAGCATCTTTAACCGTTATGCGTGTGTGTGTATATATATATTTATTTGTGTAAATTTGACGTGTCATAATAGATTTACAAAAAAAATGTTGATTATTCATTTTTACCTCTAGCGGTTATTTTATACCTTTTATGTAAAAACCTTTTATGTAAAAATATATCCCCCAAATAACAACCAACCAGTGTAATACTTGGACCTCACATAATTTTTACAAACCTACTTAATATAGGGTTGATTAGTTAATAATAAAATAAGAAAGAGCATATGTAGCCGTGTATATTTTATACAAAAGAGTGTTTTAATAGACAGCTGGAGATACTCCTAAGTTACTAAAATATGACACAAAAATGCATAAAAAAATAAAGTGTAATATCTATCTATCTATATCTGTACTATTAAAAGTACAAGGATGTCAAGAATTTCAAATCATCATTAAAAATAAATAAATAATAAAAATAAGTTATCATTTAAAAGTTACCAATTATACTTGGGATTCTTTAACGCCAAAACAAGTTACCAATTAAAATAAAATAGTTAATTATTTAATTAAAAATTAATCTTTACTTTTAGTATAAACTAAACCATTATAACTTTTTAAATAAAATAATATGCCAAATAATAAAATAAGTTACCAATTAAAATAAATCATATTATACTCGGTATTTTTAAATATAACATTATATGTAGAAATGTGTTTCAAAAAATAAATAAAGATTAAAACTTTAAAAAACTTTAAAATCTTTAGAAAAAATAAATAAATAATAAAATAAGTTATCAATTAAAAGTTATAAATAAGTTACCAATTAAAATAAAATAGGTAATTAAAGTTACCAATTATTTTCGGAATTCTTCAAGGCTAAAATAAGTTACCAATTAAAATAAAATAATTTATCAATAATAAAACAAGTTACCAATTAAAATAAAATAGGTAACTTAAAAAACCTTTTAAATAAAATAATATACCAAATAATAAAATAAGTTACCAATTAAAGTAAATCCTATTATACTTGGAATTCTTCCAGGCTAAAACAAGTTACCAATTAAATATAACATTATATGTAGAAATGTGTTTTAAAAAATAAATATAGCTTACAACTTAATAATTTTAGTTATATATAGAAATGATAATACATGTATTATTTTGGTAAAAATTCTTCTACTAATTTTAATTTTAGTATGAAGAAATAGAATTAGAAAATAATACATGTTTGGTAAGAGTTAAGGAAAGTTATGTTTCTTGATAAATAATACTCTGCATTATAAAAAGTTCTTATTTATCACTTTCATGATTTTGTAATTACGAATTATTTGTGCATTTATAATCGGACCACATTATGAATGATATATAATAATTCATAATATAATACATGTAGAATATTCCAAAAGGCTCCCAAAAAACTTAGAAAATAAAAGACTAGGATGGTAATAGAATACGGACAAAACTTGCCTTCTCACTAGTAAGCACTGATGATGTGGTTTAATCACAAATGCACAAATAATTTGTAATTACAAAATAAAGAAAGTGATAAATAAGGATAATAAACACTTGTTTCTGATGTGACCATTAGTTACCTAGAGGTCCCTTAAGCTTTAGATTCCCATCACATCTACTTATTGATGTAAGATTTGATCTTTATTTTTAATAATTCTTGGCACTTTCCAATTTCACTTTCAAGGGAAATTCTTGAATTGTTGTATTGCCAGCTCCATGTAATCCTCCATCAAGCAAGTTCAGTCTCAAACACACCACAGCTCACCTATACCCTCCCTTTCCATGTGTGCCATGGTTCAACTTGCTTTGGCACTCCCCTATGATCCCAAGAATGAAATTTAACCTTTGGTTAGCAGTGCAAGGCAGACTCTTTATTCTTGATAGGAGATCCATGGTTCAACATTAGGATATATGTGTCCTCTGCAATGCCTGCTCTGAATCACACTCACATTTATTTTTCTCATACTCATTCACAGCTCCTATTTGGAGTTTCTTCAAAGCGAAATGCAGAATCTTCATAGCATATCTCACCCGGTCGGAGTTAATTTCTAAGTTCAGCAATCAATGGTTTTCACCATCACCAATGAACATGGTAAAGAAGCTTTGCTTCACTGCACTGGTTTATCACATCTGGGAAGAACGAAATGCACGTATCTTTCGTGGATCTAAATTATCCCAAAATGCAATCCTTTCAACGGTTTATGATAGTATAACCTCAATTCTCAGATCACAGGTTCTTCGAACCTCTGTTGCTGCTCACCGCATCCTCAATGACTAGAATCTCCCTCCATCATGCTGTCGCCCTCCGCCGAAGACGCCAGACTCCTAGGGATTTGATTGCCATATTCGGCTTTGCCACCGGAATTGCACCATAAATCCACTACTAACGAGTAACGACATCATTGCCATTATTTTTTGCTTTTTGCTTGAAATTGGGATTGGGCCTTGGGTCTATGGTTGTTGTTCTTTTGGGCTACTATTGCTTTCCCAATTATATTTGGGTTGGTTTGGGCCAAAGGCCTTTCTTCGTATTTCTCTCTCTCTTTATATATATTAGGGAAAAGTGCAAAAAAACCCCATGAACTATTAGAAACCATGCAACTAACCCCCTAAACTATCAAAATTGCATAAAACCCCCCAAACTACACAAATTTGTTGCAGATCACTCCATCCAGCGACCGGCCGTCCAAAATTGGGAGCGTGATTCTCACGCGATAGACATATTTTTTTTTTTGGACAATAATGCCCTTCCACCCACTACGACAGGGGATTGAGGGAGAAGTAGATGATCTCCAAGGACAGCAGCCACCACCCATCTTTGCAAAACCCATAATCACCACCACGTTCAACCAAAACCATCACCGCTCCTTCACCCAAAACCTCCACAATTACCACTCATCCCCATCACAAAGCCACCACTAATTACAAAACCAATTAACCTATATGCTCTCTGCAAAACCAAACCCAAATCATCACCATTGCAACCCAAATTAGCAGACTTTCACCACCAATCATCACCACCAATTAATTACAAAGCCAAGCCAAATAAATAAATAACAGCAATTGGAGCGCCAAATTAGCTTGGCTTTGGTTGAACGGATAATTTTGAGACATATGCTTGAGTATTTTTAACATAAAAAAAAAAAAAAACTGGAGAGCCATCACCGCTGCAGCCACTTCAGCCCGTCGCCAAGTTCTGGGAGATGGTGTGAGTAGAGCACGGAATTCCAACTGGAGAGAGTAAACGTGTACTACAATGAGGCCAAAACTTCACCGGCAACACACCCCCTTTCCGTCTTCACCCTCGCGGTTGAATTTAATTTCAGATTGAGACCCAATTGCTCCGCCTCAAGCACCACCGTTCCATCCCGCCAAGCACCACCGCAAGCCTTTCTCTGTAACAGAGATGAAGCCTCTGTCTTCTGCTCAGTCGACGAAGTCGCCTTTTGTGACACCTGCGACCACCGTATGACACAACTGCCGCAGTGGAAAGCGGCCGGAAAAGACAGAGACGTAGAAGCTCTGAGACTTTCGAGACCATCGTGAAGTTCTGCTAGGGCTTCTTCAACAGATCTGTCGTTTTTCTCTCTCTATGTTTCAAGAAAAAACAGAGCAACCCAATATACCCACGCTGCCGCCGCTTCTCATCCACAGCCACCACCATCACACCGACGCCAACAACAGCCATTGTCGCCTCTCCCCAACAACCACAGTCGCCGCCTCTCCCCAACAACCACAACCGCTGCCATTGCCAAGCTTTCCCCCAAGTCCATCCTCCACGCACCGCCGTTAGCACCCATCATCGTCGTCGCCAGTCGCACAACCTAATCACCGGCGTCGTCAATCGCCAATCGACGGCCCAAGCGCACAACCCAATCGCCGTTCACATAACCCTTTTTCGACGGCGATGGGAGAAACGATGGATAGCCACTTGTAAAGCCGAATCATCCTCTTCTCTTGAAAGAGGCAGCTTTGTTTTTCTTCTGTGAGTCAATTTCTATCTCTTTCGTTGCTCCAATTTCTCTCTCTTTCGTTGCTCCAATTCGCAGCTTTGAACGACGATGGGGCATTAGCTCTCTCTCTCTCTGTGCAAAAAAATGAGGGCCCAAAATAAAGAAAGGTTACTTAATTGAGGGTATTGTTGTCATTTGTCTTTTCCGGCAACCTATTGTTAGTTCAAGGGGGTTAAATGTAACAATTTGTTAGGGGGTTTTATGTAGTTCAAGTGGTGAGTTACAAAACTCCAATACTTCAAGGGGTTTTTTTTTTACACTTTTTCCTATATATTATTAGCTTCACTTTTAGGAGAGGAGGAGAAAAAAAAAAAACCAACAAAGGACAAGGCAGTTTTGCAGATATGGAATATTAGACAGCAAAGTAGTTTTGCTCGTGCAAGGTGAGATCCAAAGCATCCAAGCCAATTTATATACCATAAATATCCATGGGCAGGGACAGACTTGGAGAGATTTTTTATTTATTTATTTATTTATTATTTATTTATTTATTTTTTGTAACACTAAATGCTAGGAATTTTTTCATATTACAATTATATACCAATGAAATTTTAATGTTGCCCTTCTAAAATTATAAAAATATTTCATTTTTACCTCACTTACCTAATTTCCTGAATCTGTCCCTGCCCATGAGTTCAACCAAGATCTAAATAGCCTTCTAATGTGACAGCCATTGGTGTCAAATTAAACTGTCTTTTCCACCTAAGATCTCTTGCAAATGCAGCACAAGAAGAGCATCCTGCTTTCAAATAAACCAGCATTATATTTGAAAAAGAAAATTTGGATCTATGTCCAACAGGAAAAAATATATTCTGTTTTGATTTGACATCAAAAAACGAACGGTTGCGGAAAAAGAATAATGTGCAATCTTAATGAAAATTACAAATCAATTCGGAAACTTCCTGACATAAGTATTCAATTAGTTTGGACTTGTTTACTATTGAATTGGGACAAACACCACAAAAAAAAAAATAATAAATTCATTCTCGCAAAATACTTAATCAAGATATGTAGTCTAATGATATTGATATTTATATTTTCTTAAAGTAAAAGGTAGAAAATCAACGTGGCGGATGAACAGGGTTTAAGTCTCCCGTCAATTTACTTGATTAAAAAAATGTATGTATAAATTTTTTTTTTATTGGACCTGATAGATCAGATCCAGCAATGGAACATTCAACACGTTTAGCACATGATGATGGGGAGGCTTTCTTGGGTTAAGTTACTTAAATATCCTTCATCGGCATATATCAGAATCACCAATGGAACATTCAACACGTTTAGCACATGATGGGTTTTTTGGGCTAAGTTACTTAAATATCCTTCATATCATATTAAATTACATTTATACCTTCTTTTATGTTGAAATGCAATGATAGCCACCCATGAAATGCAGAGATAGGACTTCTTGATAAAATGCTGCTCACACAAAAGAGTCTCATCTCCAACATCACCACATTCTCTTCTCATCTGCTTCTGAAGAATAATGGCAGAAAATTCGGAACAACAATGGCTAAAAAGAGAGATTTACCTGAGACTTCACGGATCCAACAACAACCCATTTTCCCATTGAAAGTTTCAAATACAATTGTTGCTCGAACTGCTGTTGCAGTGTTGGGATTGGGATTCGTCGATGCCGGGTAATATCCTAATCAGGCCCTGCTAATGTTTTTAGTTTCTGATGAAATACAGGGTTGTTCTGATTTCGTCAATTACTTGCTCTCTTCATTGCTATATATATATTGCAATATTCAAAATTCAGGTACAGCGGAGACTGGTCAAGGATTGGAGCTGTTTCAAAAGAGATTGAGGATTTGCTCAAACTTGCAGCTTTTGTAGTAGTTCCTTTTTGCCTTTTTCTAATATTTTCCTTCTCAAAGGAAGACGAGGCTTGAATCTTTTGAATGACATGTATATTTTAAGCTACTTTGAATGTCATGTATATTTTAAACAGAGCTTGGATGGGGCTTCCACCAGTAACAGTACAAAAGGAAAATTTATCTTATATGAATTCTCTATGAAATACTAGTCAATCTCAAACAATACTATGATGCTATGTTTGGCAGCACCGGTCCCAAATCTAAGGCACTGATTCATTGCTCCCAAATATGACATGATAGTAATCCAAATCTAGATGCCACATGCAACTATCCACTAAGGTGCATTCTAGTTCAAGTAGCCACTTGATAGGAAAATACCTTTGAAGCTGAAAATGAGAACCAACAATTTGACAACACTCTATTACGATGACATCATATTACTATTTACGAAACACGTTCTCTTCAAAAAATACGAGTATGTTCTTGAATAGTGAAAATCGGAAATTCAACAACATTGACTACCCTTCAGGCAAAATTTGCAGGCTGATAGTCTTCACACTTTTACGAGTAACAGAGAGAGAATACATCCTGGTGCTAAGAAATGCCCTCACTGTTGTCATGTGTTACCCATCACAAGTTAGCGTATGCTGGTGCAAGTCCATAATTACTAGGGTGGCAGCACTGTGGGCAAGTGCCCCTGCAACAACAAACACATGGAAAATCTGATGACTCTGCCCTGCAATATCAAATGCACCAGGTTTCCACCGTTCCGGAATTCTACCAACATAGAACCCAGCTCCTACAGCATATAAAGCACCCATGGCAAGCTCGTATCCAAGTGCCACAAATACCTGTGGATGGTCCCAGTGGAGGGCAACAGCATGCGCTGCTGGAATGGCGCCTGAGAAGCCCATGGTGAGGAAAAGGGCGGCCCTGTAGGATCGGAAACGAGGAGAGGAGAGACCAGGAGCAAGGAGGGTGATAATGGCAAGGATACCAAGCAAGGAAATAGAGGTAAGATAAAAGAGTCGTGAATATGGGTGGCAGGAGAAAGAATAATAGATGGGTGCAAAGAAGGAGCAGACTATCATGAGGGAAATGCCAGCATAATCAAGGCGCCAGAAGAAGACGCTAAATCGTTGGGAATGGCTAGCAAGGAGGTGGGAAATGGAGCTACAAACTAAACAGCCCATTGCCCCGATTAAGAAAACAAACCAAGGCCATCTAGGAATTGCATCAGAATCACCACGTCCATTCACATGTTGAAGCTGAGGAATGTCTCCTAGATGTAGATCCTGCAAAATAACATCAAAATAAATAATACCTGTATAGATTAATGAAGGCCTTAATTCTGAATCACGAAAATCCTCACATATATATACTACATAAACAAAATTGTTGTTATTACTATTGTTTTGTTTTTGCCTCGGCTTCAGTTTCTAAAGACTGATGATGCCACACCCCATCTATGTGAAAATGTCAAATATAATCCCACTAGAGAGCATCTTTAGAGAGACTATAGAGCTGAGCAAAGCAAAACTCAACAAGTTTCTAACTTCTACTATTTTTCTATTCCAATGGACTTCACTATATTTCTAAACCTCAAATATCTGATGACTAGCTTTTGCAAATTTCTATTTTACAACTTAGCTGTCCATACTGCCTTTTTCGCTTCAGAGTTTCACTTTACCTTCTCCCTTTGTAAAGACAGATGTTGGTTCACTTTAGATTCAACCTTAACTATATTTGTTTCACATTTCACTTGTGCCTGTGAATCGGGCTAATTATCTAAAAAGCCTAGTGTTGCACCAAAAACATGTTATGTATTGACCAAGAGTTATATGATTAAAGGGCTAGTCCAATGCACGAGGCTCCTGCCATTGTGAGGTCTTGGGAGGGTTTGATATACGCAGTCTTACCTCCGCATGAAGACTGGCTGTTTCTTAACTCGCAACTGTGACCTTCACATGCCAATGGAGCACCTTACTGTTGTGTCAAGGCCTACCATCACCAGGAGTCTTATGATTAATTTTTGGATTTAGTAAGTTGGCATATACCACATGTAAATAAGGACATTTAACATCCTAAAATTCGGTCTACAGCCTAATGATCGACTTTAAGAGAAATGAAGATAATTTACCCCCTTAAAGTAGGTCAGGTGATTGATATGATGTAACAAGTTGATCTTGTAGTAGAACAACTTGATTGGTCTAGTCTTTCAAAAATTCAAGGTAATTTGATTGAAGAGTGGAGAGATAAGTCCGAGTAATGAAGGTCAAAAAAAAAAAAAAAATTGCTCCATAAAACTGAAAATCGCTTTAGACTGAAGGAAGGATGGATATTGGTAAAAAATTAAAAGTGATCAACTGGTTTATGCATGGTTACAGAAATATTTTAGATTTTGACAGGCCAAAGCAATGGCCGAGCATGTGAGGCATGGGCCTCCAATTCAGTTGTCATGTTTTCACCCCGAGCCTGACAAACCATCCCCATTAGATTTTTTTTTAACCACGCATGGAAATAGAGAAATCTCTACAAATTCTAGTTTCAACACATTTTGGGAGGTCCCCTGCACCAACATAAGTCCTTTAATTATTTCAGTTTGCATTTTATCCAGTGTAAGCCGTTACAATTCCATAGTCTAGCCTAACCTTAACCTTTTTTCTTTTTAGTTTTTATATCCATTTACTTGGCCTTAATCTACATTTAATCTTCAATCCTAGTAATTTACTACTTATTTGCTTTCATTAACATAGTTTACTAACAGGTTTCAGAAATTGTTAATGGAGGTTGTAAGATTTTTACTCTAGTGTCTCTACTGCTTTATTTTAATTCAATGTCAAGGATCAAAATTCTTCTTCTCAAGGCAAAATGAACTCAATAAGAGGGGTCTAACCACTGACAACGGCTGAAAAACTCTCACCACTGACTAGGGTTTCCTTCAAGATTTAATCCACAGCTCCATCCAGATCTAACCCACACCGATTACTACGGACACTCTCTATCTCTCTGCTCTCATCTCACATTCATTCCTCACTCTCTGTTGTATTTGTTTGTACTTCTTTGTTTGGTTGGTCCAATGGTCCATCATTGCACCCTCTCTCTTTCGTTCTTTCTGATCAGCCGACCAGTCTTTGGCTGCACCTTCTCTGACTGTGAAACACTGAAATTCTTGATCCTCCTCTCTCCTTGGTTCCCCACTCTCTCTGACTCTAATTTCTCTTGCATCTGCAGCCCCAATCTTCTCCGAATATAAAATTATAAGCCCTAATCTTCTCAACCCACTGATCAGGTCACTGTCTTCACGGCACCTTATCTGACAGCAAAACCCTAGAAATCTTAGTGGTTGGACCGGTGATCATATGAGTTCATGATGCATTTAGGGTACTTGATGATTAAGATCCTCTTGGTCCTTAAGCACAAAGGCAATTTACATTCATTTCGCGATAAACAGTACATAATTCACCTTTATTTTTATTGTTTTAACAAACCTCTGTACCACATAATTTAAGGGATCTTGGAGAAATTTATCCTAATCCTTTTACCCAATTTGAAACATGTTTTGTAGTTATTATGTTGAACTATCATCAACTAACATGTGTGGACGCCCTTTTAATTTTCAATTTTGAAGTATCAGCTACTCATTGTTAATCATGACTAAAATAATGGAAACCCAAATCTAAAAATATTTCGGACGACAACCCATGTATGAAGAGAAAGTGAGAGAACTCTACACTCACAGGAAAGGAAGCATCTGAGTCGTTGATGTTCTTGATCATCATCATCTTCATCAACGGTGCTTGAATAGCAGGTCTGTTATGGTCCCACACACACCATCCAATTGAATAAGCTTCAAAATCAAAAGAGTAAATGAAGGATTAAGAAATGACGATGGAGTCATCAATAATGAACCTGAAGAGATTGGCGATCAAAGCTTCGACCTTCGTCCTCTCCATTGAGCTCGTCACCATCAACACCACAAATATCAAGAAACCTCCCAAATGCCTACAAGACATCAGATTGAAATTCAAATTCAAAGTCAAACTCAAATGAAATGAACAAAAATCGACGATTGATGATGAGATTGATGGATAACTCACGTCCAGATGTTTAGGGTTTCGTTGTGCCAAGCGAAGACGCTACACAAGGTCTCTTTCAACGGCCATTCACACCTGTAATAATCCAAAATGTACTCGTTGTCCTTTAGGTACTCAGGCAAGGCCTCGTACTTCACCAATCGCCTCTTGAATCCCTCATTTTTCTTCTTCCCCATCGTCGTATCCGAGTCAACTCGGTCTGTTCTCTCTACAACATTACCGATTTTCAAGCTCTTCGCCCCTTTCCGCTTCATTTCCGCCGGAAAACCCGTCTATCCCAGTTTTCCGACGAGAATTTCGCCGGAAATCTGAATCTCTTCTCCGGCTGCCCTAATCAACCCCCTCTCTCTTCATCTCTCTAGCTATCTGTGATTCTTATATAGTATACAGGTAGAGCTTCAATCGGGCAGCTGAGAATTTTTAAAAAGCTACAAAAATGACATCAAAAATAGAGAAGCTTACGCGGTTAGAACTAGTATCGTTTTTTAAGAGACAAATTGGCTTTATTTGGAGAAGACTTAAAAAAGAAAGAGGACATACCGTTGACACAGCTTTGAAGACGACGTGCTCTAGTGTAGGTGATACCGTGATTCTACTCTCACCTCATTTTTATATGCTACGTACTTTTTATTTGTTTGTTTAATTTGTTCCTAAATTTGAATTCCGAGGAAGTTGAGAAGCTTAATTTATGTGAATCAACTTGGTGAGGAGGCTACAATCGACACGTGTTGGGCACGGACTTGATGTAGTAAAGACAGATTTAAAAAAGAAAAAAAAAAAAAAATTTATAGTATCAGTCACAAGATAAAATAAAAATAAATAAGACTAATTTCTGGATAATTAAAAATGAAATAATTGTAATAAATGTAATAGTAACAACCGTACTAGTTGAATCTATATAAATAAGAAATGATGAATTAATAATAATAGATGTACTGGGTAACATCAGTACAGGTTGAATATAAATACGAAGTGATTTTTTGCTTGTTGAAAATGGACCATAAATTTTAAGAAGTATTTTATGTTGAGTTAAGAATGAATAATTATTCTTGAATTAGGATAATATATCAAATGTAAAAAATATTAAAATATTTTTAAAAAATTTAGATCCCTTAAAATAGTATGCAGGTTCGGTCCAAAGTGAACAATATCATATCATGTAACGGAGTGGGCGGGTGCCATCGACTGAGAGACTATTACATTGGACAAATTATGAGTGCATAATTCCACCCCAGGTGTGAAAAAGGGAAGTGTTATATATGTAAGACATTATCTTGGAATATGTTAAACTTTTCACTATTGATCTCTCCAATAAAATTTGTTTTCAAGTATTTACAAGTATTTAATCCTATGATTGTTAAAGCCATATTAACAATTTAATTAACTAATGAATACAAAATAAGGCGCCACATCAATAATTTAATTAACTAATAAATACGATATTATTTGACTAAAAAAGCCATTATGTTAGGCTTCCCTCTTTCGTTTCCCCAATCTTTTATCTACCATAAATGAAGAATCATTAATCTTTATATGCTATAATGTAAGATTTGGAAGATTCCGTAAATTTTTCTGAATTAAGAAAGTATTTTAAGATCTCAGTACATCAAATAACTGAAAGATTATTTGGAGCTCCTCTATTTTTCAGGGTTTTATCCCACGGCAACATCTAGGTTAGTATCGCCGTCTAATATGTTGGGACTTTCACCAATTTTAGAGAAATTTTCTGATTGGAAAATATATATAAATTTTATTTTATTATTATTTTTTTTGGTGATGTTTAACAAATTTAAGAAATTGGTTATATATAAAGTTATTTTAACTAAATTGCAAGTTACAATCACATTGGTATCGTGCTAGTATATTAGTAAGAGTATGAGTTGAACTAATGAGTAGGCTATATTCCAAGTTTGAAATAGGTACTGGTGATAACATTTCCTCTAGTGATTTATTTGTTTCTTCAATCCAAATATGGCATTTTCAAAATTTTAGGAACCCTGTCCCGTTAACATAAATAACTGATAGTGTAATTTGTCCAAAGAGAGAATTAATTATGCAAGCACTTGTGTATGAGTAAGTGAGAGTTTGAGTGAATTCAAAATTTATATTACATTAAAGGGAAGATTAGAACTAAGTTATTTGGTAACGAGTAAATGAACTCTGTCCTCCCTAAATTATACAGTGCCAAGGGCCTTAAGGTCTGAATCTGTACAAGTGTCTACGATCCAATGGCAAGGGACCTGTTGCTCAACAAACGGAGGATCCGCATTTCCATATTCAGATCCTGTAGAATTGGGTTTTAAAATCTTCTAATGAATAATCTACAAGACTATATACATCTAGAAAATTATATACAAATGGACACAAGTTTAAACAACTCCACATGGAAAAGTCTAAAAAAGTTCTTCATGTAGACTGCCCATGCCATGTGTGCCCGTGTGGTGTAACTTCTCAGTGCGGGACATAACATTAAGCACACGTGGATTTCATTGAAGTTCTAAAACTTTCTTGGGGAATATGAACGTGCGTAATGCCTGAACCAGTATATAGACAGATTTTATTATCCTTGGTTTGAAGTCTCCCCACCATTTTTTTAACAAGCCTTTTGTAATCATCTGGTTTCAATTGTTTGTTATCATTGGCAATCTTCCAAATTCGTACTTGTTGAGATTGTGGAGTTTGGATCACAAGCCCAGTTAATGTTGTAGCTTCACAAACCTGGTTAAGAGTTGAGCTTGTGTTTTATACCCGTAGATGTCTTTTGTATTTAAGTCCCCTAATTTTTTCGGGTTTAAGATTGTGGTTTTGAGAAGCAGTCAATATGAGTTTTTTTTTTGTGTAAGAATTCTTTATTATAAATACCCATTATTAATAGTGTAATTTGTAGTGCTGTGATGGGTAAAAATAATTTTTAGCGAATCATATTGTTTTCCATTCCCAACACTAGCATGTGTTGCTATTTTGTCTGTCACTTTCATGTTAGGAATAATTGATTTTCTCTGCTGGTGGGAACCTGGAGTTGCACATTTTGGTGTAAATTGGGACTTCTAGGACAAAGGTGAAGAAGTATGGGTCTCTCACCAGTGGGAGTCTGGGCCAGCCACTGGTCCATTGGTATGTTGATACGTTGAGTTGATGAGTTTACATATAATAAAGTTGTAGAGTTATTTTAACTCCTTTCAACTCATTCTAGGTTGATGTTGGAAGTTAAATTCATCATTTATCATACATAGCATAAGTATTATCACATCATATTTATATAAGTATATATTGAAATAACAATCATATACATCAACGCAAAATATAATATTTTATATGGTTTACTCAATTCAAAAACTACGTTCATAGAGAAAGAAATTTTTGCTCAAGAATTACATACACTCTCCTCATAACAGTCACCCTTAAATCCCTTATATCTTTTTCCTCTCTCTCTTTCTCTACATCTATCAATAGATCTCCGTTTATAATCTTTAAACCTAATTCCTTGTCAAACAAAAATTCAGCTTGTTTACAAGGAGCCATCACAACTCTAAAATAACAGCTTAGCATGTTATAATTTTCTTTTCAAATTTTCAGCCTTGTTTCTCTTCAGACTTTTAAAACGGAAAAGGAAATTGTCCCCCGCACATATCAAGCGAGCGCAACTGGTTCTACTTCTTTAAATCACACAATTCTGTCCAATTGCAATCAATTGTATTAAAACAGAACAGTTCCACTTTTTTACAATTATTCTTCACCAAAATTTGAATCCATTAATAGACCTCGTTTTTCTTTTAAAAGTAAGCATTAAACCCATTAAGCTTGGATTTTATTTATTTATTTTTAATAAAGACTTTTTCCATCCAAATATGCAATCTCTCTTAGTCAATAAAGAAACTTTGGCAAGACCTTCACTATTCTACATTTTTGCCATTAAATTGCTCAAGGTTTTCTCGTCCATGACACATTAAAAGTAAAGAAATTTGAAAAAAAATTATATTTCGCTAAATCGATTGCTAGAGAATGGAACTTAACAAACTCCTCCTCCGAGCCGGACCAATCCGACCCTTTTTTCTCTTTCGCCACACCTCAACCAATCCCTCCCACAATCAGGCTACCGCTACCGTTACCACCACCACCACCTCCACAGCCCCCTCAACCGTCATAACTATGCTTTCAATTGCTAATGGTCCCGTCTTAAATTACACAATCCTTCTCAACAGGTGTCACTCTTACGTTCCGAGTACGCTCCCGCTCTCATGCTCCATACGCGCGCGCTCTTGTTCAAATTCTCACTATTTATAACATAATTTTACCGCTCTCGCGCTCGCGCTCTCGAATTTGCTCTCGCTCCCGTTCTCGCTTTATGTGACTTAGATCCCACTTGGTCTATTGATTAGGGTTACTTAATCATCTTAAATCTTAATCAAATGGTTAACCGACCTTGTGGATGGGCTTTTTGTTCAGGATTGGAAACGGGCCTCTCTTTTGTTCATTATCTTTTGGGCTTCAGCCTTCTAGTTATTTGCATTTGTTCCAGCCCTTTGCTTTTACGAGTATCTTTTTTATACACAATTACTTACCCGACCCGAAAAAAAGTACTAATTTTTTCCAAGATAGTTACTAAAAATGGATGACCAAACTAAACCACAACATAGTTTAGTTCAACCCATATGATTGATGTTAGATCACATGAAGAAGAACTAAACTACTAAAGTGAATTAAATATTCATGTGTGTGTATATATATGCATACATGCATGAACCCATTTCTCCATCACCCATCTTTTAAAATAAGGACCAAAATGAATCAAAGATGAATATATGTATCTGTGTACCCATTCATTCATAATCAATGTAACACATAAAAAAGATTGTACTATTGTCACTATGGAAATATCTAATGTGACTTTCACTTTCAATTGATTAGGTGATCCATAAATTGGATTGCTTGAGCAATAGGGAATTTGAAGTTGATGGTTTTACGCGTTGAAAATTTTAATTTAATATTTCTTTTTGGATGCTGATTAGGTGGCCCATAATGTGGATGTTTTGGGGAAGGGCCAATTCTTTACTTACCAAATTGAGTTGAACAAGGAAGCATTTTAATTGGTTTGTCACATTATAAGTTGTTATATGGATCAATCTATTCACTTATGATCCGGGAAATTAGCAAGTTAATTTAAACCCCCCAATGGGTCCCTCATATTTGTATAATTTCACAAACTTCCATATACAAAGTTCTATATAGCAGTACATTTGCAAATTATCTTGCAATAAGGAAAGAAAAAACACTCAAATGACTGACAATGATGTGACATTATGGATAATCATATAATAACACATAGTGATTATTACTTTATTAGTTGCTTATATAATTTCAATATCCAAATACATATCTGCACAAAATCTTTTGAGCGGCTAAATTAATTTTCTTCAACTTGCATTTCAAATAGCTCTACTCAATAATTATTATACTTATTTCGCTGATATTCAATATATTTGAATAGAAATTTCAAAATCTCTATCCGATAATATTAAATACATATGTTTTATTTGCAAAGATTTTAGGATCCATTTTATTTTTTTTTTGAAATTCGCAGGTGTACAAAAAATCTCAACATATTCTCACTCCCGCCCTAAGTTATATAATCCTTCTCAATAGGTGTTACTCTTATGTTCCGAGTCCGCTCCCGCTCTCACGCTCCGTACGCGCTCTTGCTCAAATTCTTACTATTTATGACTTAATTTTGCCGCTCTCACGCTTCCGCTCTTGAATTCGTTCTCGTTCTCGTTCCAACTTTATGTGACTTAGCTCCCGCTTATTTAAATTCAAGCTCATAAAAACTAAAACAAATAAAACAAAGTATCGAAATATATTGTGAAAAAATTAATCATGCATTAATTAAATTGTCTATTTTCCAACCAATTTAGCATAATAAAACTTCAAATGTGTATGATAAATTAGTATTGAGTCCCTAAAATTTGTTACAAACTCAAATGCATCAATCCTTAATCCAAGACTTTAAGATACAAATTAGTTTCAAAATTGCAAAGTGATTATTCAAATATTTTTCTGTTTCAAAAAGAATTACAATATAAATCAAATGCACCATTCAAATAGAATGAGTTACACAAAATTCTCATCCTCAATTGATAAGAGCCCACTCACCAAGTTTGAAAATATTTGAACAACTCCCCTTTTTTTTTTTTTTTTTTTTTCAAATAAATTGATTGATAGATAATATAAATAAATACAGTACACAGTTAGATTGATATATACATACCAATGAATGAACAAAAGAGGCACCATTCCATAAGCCTATATATATATATTGACAGAAGAAAGGACTAAACTTCTTTCACTTTCAATATAAACCTGTAACAGCACATCACACAAAGTTTAGGTAAAAACAAGATAGAAGAGAGCAGGCAAGCCGGTTAGAGACGGCCTCAATCGTCCTCCTCGCCGGCTACCTCTACTTTGCCAGCGCGCACACACACACACTCTCTTTCAGACCCTCTTCATATATAAGTGTCTTTCATTGGAAGACTCAATCACAGCTAGCTCGATCCCAACCTTTCTCTCTTCCTTAATTATCGACGAAGCGCTTTGCAGTTTCATGGCGAAGTTATCACAGAAAAACCAGAAGAACAATGCAAACAATGCGGCTAATGGTACTACTACTAATACCAATTCCGTGACAAAGGTGAAGAGAACCAGGAAAACTGTTGCTAGAGACTCCCCTCCTCAACGTAGTTCCATTTATCGAGGAGTCACAAGGTTAATTGAATGGCATTCATCAGATATATATATATATATATATATATATATATATCATGGGTTAAAAAAAGTTTGAAGTTCTTTGTTTATTTTTATTTTGTTTTTCTAAAATTGGTGTGTTGTGATTGCTTTAGGCATCGTTGGACGGGCAGATACGAGGCTCATTTGTGGGATAAGAATTGTTGGAATGAATCACAAAACAAGAAAGGAAGACAAGGTTGGTTTTCAACATCTTCTCTCTTTTCATGCATGTTCAATTTTTATTTTTATTTTTATTATTATTATTATTATTTTCACGTTTCTTCATTTTTTTTTTACTGACTTTATTTATTTGTTTGTTCTTTTGCATTTGCGATGGTGTTTTTTTTGTGTGGAATCCTAATGAAATGCAGTCTATCTTGGTACGTATATATGTTTTGGATACAGCTATATATATATATATATAAGAAATTTATAATTGTGTTAGTGAGTATCATTTGATCAATATGTCCTATATATATGTTGGTTCTTCAGGTGCCTATACTGATGAAGAAGTGGCTGCACATGCTTACGACTTGGCCGCATTGAAATACTGGGGTCAAGATACCATTCTCAATTTTCCGGTAACTTATCACATGAACATTCATTTAAATTTATTTATTTTTCATTTATATAATTAATTTCTTCCAGTGGTTCATACAAAGATTGATCAGTTAATGATGGAACTGATATATGTTAATGATCTTAGCTATCAACCTACCAAAAAGAGCTGAAAGAAATGGAGGGTCAGTCCAGAGAGGAGTATATCGGATCATTAAGAAGGTACATTTCCCATATATATATATATATATATATATATACACACACGGATCATGTGAACCCTATAATTTATTTTTGTTCTTTCTATAAATTATTACAAAAAGGGAGTCAAAAGCATATACTGAATTGAGGTAAACTTTGGCGAACTTTCAGGAAAAGCAGTGGTTTTTCTCGAGGAGTTTCAAAATATAGAGGAGTTGCAAGGTAACAAATTAATTAAAAACATATGTTATTTATTTTACTATTTGTTTGTTTTCATTAAATAATCAATCATTTAATCTTCATATTTCGAACGCTACTCTTATAACTGAAAGCTATTCCAATCAACTAGTAATTTTCAAGAATTTGAATCATCATTATTTTATTTTCCCATTGGATCCAAATACAACAAAATAGGCTATTGGGATAAGTATGGGACATGTAAACACTTATCTCATTACAGTTCGTTAAACAGTTTCAAAACTTCCAGCAATATATTAATTTAGTCTATTTAGATATATAGTTTATATATTTCCAACAAAATATGTTTGTAAGAACTCTATTTGTTTTATGTGGTTGAGCAGGCATCATCACAATGGAAGATGGGAAGCTCGGATTGGCAGAGTTTTTGGTAACAAATACCTCTATCTTGGGACATATGGTAAGTAATTTTACTTCAATTTCAATTCCATTTTGGAGTACCCACTTTGCACCTGTTGCAAATTATGTGATTTTTGTCTAATAAGGTCAATATATATATATATATATATATATATATATTTGGAAACTTCAAGTAGAAGGGTATACTTGGAATATTTCTGCATGGGACATGAACATCAGTCACAATCACTTAGTTGGGAGAGTTCACCAACCTTAACCATTTCGGAATCTAGAAAATCTAACTTGATTCATTTTTTCAATTCTCTAGCTACTACACTAATTTCATTCCCAAATTATCCCTAAACTATCTCATTAATTTCTGCAGCTACCCAAGAAGAGGCAGCAATCGCATACGACATGGCAGCAATTGAATACCGGGGACTTAATGCTGTCACAAACTTCGATCTTAGTCGTTACATAAAATGGCTAAGACCAGATCAAAGCAACACTACTCAGCCTAACAACGTCGATGTAATTGACACTACTTTGACTACTCCAAACCCAAATCACGATCCTCCTCCATCTACCTTCCTCCACCACCACCAACAACAGCCTTCTGACAGCGGCGATGCCACCGTGACAGCTCAGTCTCGGCCAGTGGCTGCAACTTCAGCACTTGGACTCTTACTTCAGTCATCAAAGTTCAAGGAGATGATGGAGATGACTACGGCGGCCGAGGGACCGTTGACGCCACCGGAATCTGACCCACCGCGGTGTAGCTTCCCGGATGATATACAAACGTACTTTGAGTCACAGGATTTGGGGAGCTATGACGAGGGTGGTGATGCTATCTTTGGGGAGCTCAACTCGTTCATGCAACCAATGTTGCAGTATGACTTTGACGGAATAGATTCATCACTGTAATTAATTAATTTGTACAATTAATTATTTATGCGCCTGACAACAACGTCAACAATGGGTATGTAAATAAATTCTTTGGGGAGGTCATGTCCACTCTAGACTATTGGGAGAGAATTTGACTATGTCAGATTTATTTATTTATTTTTGTATGATCAAATTGGGATTTGTTATTCACTATTTTTTTTTTTCTATAAATAATAACTCTGATTTGTTTTATTTACTTTCTTTTTTATAAATATCCTCTGTCTCTCACTCTCACTCTCACATACACACACTATAGAGTAATTAGTTATTTTTTATATTATAAAAAATAAAAAATAATTAATTTTGATAAAACTACTCGTGCTCTTCTTTTATAAAGTCCTACTGTGATGCTAATACTTAATTAAATGATTTTATTGTAAAACCAATACTTAGTAATAAAAGTACTTTAAATAATTTTGTTACCAACTAAATACAAAAGTACTATATTTGTGAAAATTAGTTTAGATATTGTAGTACCAATTACCAAACACTAACAGTCTAACAGGCCGAATTTGCATGATTCTTTTAAACCTGCCAGGCCCATTAATCAAGCCCATATCTCTTGCATTAATCTGTGCTAGTACCACTTAATTTCTTATATTCCTAAATATGACCACGTAACCACAAGGCCAGATCAATCCATTTCAGTTCGTTGGAAGCCCAACCCTGACCCAATACAATGTGATTGATTCGACTACCCTAGTAGTGCCCAACCCAATTTGACCAATGCCATAAACCAAACCACCGACTACCTGTCCCACTCTTAAAAAGAATTGAATGCAAGGGAGAAAAGAATGGATAGATGAGACATTCTTATAGAATAAATTGTTTCCATTTTTTTTAGGTTGGATAAAAGATAATAGAATTACCTGACAGTTTACTATGTTCTTTAAGGGAGAATGAGAATTATTTTTACTATTATACTCGTCACTGACTATAGGATTGTAATTATAAACTTATATAATAGCTTCACTTGTTTTTCCTTTATTGAACAAAGAAAGCTTGTTCCTTCATTCTTATCTTTTCTCCACCTCTTTTCTTTCCGTCTAACCGAATGAAGCATAAATTTCAAGGAGTGATTAACAACTAACATATATGGGGTTAGTTTTCTTTGGAATCTCTCTTAGCTTTTGAGTGTTTTCTTTTTGTGGTAAGTTTTGACATACGTTGTTAACTAGTTGCCCTTATATTTTTGGTGTTTTTATGTTTTGTCTCTAGACCTGTTAATGAATCAGATTTGAATTGAATTGATGATTATTTATATTCACTTTATTTAGCTAAAAGATTAACGGATTTATTGGATTGAATATTTCAATCCATATCTTAATTATTTCGAATTCAAATTTAATTTGGATTACAATAAGATTTATTAACATATCTAATTCTAAGGTTAGATAAGGTAGAATGTTGTTTATAATGTATATTGAATGGTGCTTCATATAAGTATGCAACCAAATGAATCTAATAGTAAATAATTAACACACACACACACACACACACATATATATATATATAAATTTAATAGTAAATTTAAGATATTGTACAGTAATTCAATAATATATGTATAATTTTAATTAAATTGAATACTTTAAATCTATATCTGATTTATTAGAAATATCAAATTATAGAATTTTTATGCAATTCATACCTAGTATTTAAATAATCTGATCGAATTCAAATAAAAATTCCATCAATTGACAGGACTACTTGCTTCTCATTGTGCAATGAATCAATCCTTGCTTTTTTTTTTAACATGATATGGATTTCACCCCCGAAATTCAAGTTTAATGTATAAATTGTAAAAAGGAAGTACAAAGACTAGACTATTGGCTCGGACAACCCAGCAGGCTTGAAAGCCCAAGACCCAAAGTCTAATAGCAACAGATTAGATCTAATACAATCTAGGGAAATAGACCGCCCCAAGCCCAACAGCACAAAGGCCCAAACTGAGTCACAAGATATCATCTAGTGATCTAGTGTTAGAAGGGAAGTGTAATGGGTGAGTACTTATTCATTTACTCTAAATTTTAATTTATTAGGTAGTATTTCATACTCATCCATTTATACTCATTTTACTTCCTAACTGAATTCGATGTGGGACAAATCTCCCCGTGTAACATTCTCCCCCACCTAAACTTACAACACTGTCGTTGCGGTCTGGCCACTCTACCTTACTCGGGTGACATACACTAGATACCTTTCGGGCCGAGCAGTTAGCGTGACACCAGGTCAAAGATTGGGTCTGACTCTGATACCAACTGTAACGGGCTGGTACTTGCCAATTTACCAAAAAACTTAATTTATTGGGTAGTGTTACATACCCACCCATTTATACGTATTTCACTTATCATTCGGATCCGATGTTGGACAAATTTCCCCTTGTAATAGGAAGCTTGTACCACATCAGATTTGGATGGAAAAATGAATAGGTATAAATGGGTGGGTATGCAGTACTACCTAATAGTTTAAGTTTTTGGGTAAGCGCCCACCCGTTATAGTTAGTATCAGAATCAGACATAATCCTTGATCTGATGTCACGCCAAGCGTCCGGCCCGGAAGGCGTCTAGGTCTTCACCTCGAGTAGGCAGGGTGGCCCAAGCCGCAATAAGAGTGTTACAAGTTCAGGTGGGGAAGAATGTTACAAATAAGAGTTTGTCCCACATCGGATCCGAATGGGTATAAATGATTAGGTTTGTAACACTATCTAATAATTTAAGTTTTTATGTAAATGAATAAACGCTTACCCGTTACATCTAGTTGGTAAAATACCAAACTTTTCGAAAGAATACGCCTGTGTTCAAGTCTCCCTTCTCTAATTTATGAGAAATAATAATTTGGGTTCTTCTTTTGGCTTTGAAAATAGAAAGTTAGTTGCTTCTATTTAAGAAATTTAAATTTGTTGACTAACAAAGGCATGAATAAAAAAAAACAGACTTGTACCCTGTTCCGCCACGTATCTCTTGCTTAGACTTCTATTGGTCTTCGTGTTCACATTCATATCTTTTTTTTGTAAGCGAGTTCACATTCATATCTTTTTTTTGTAAGTGAGTTCACATTCATACCATTACATTAAATTGTGTTCACATTCAAACCATTAAATGTTCTTATATTGACTAGCTTCTGTGTGTCCGTATCGCGTGGCTTCTCCGTTATGCACTTTTTCTCTACAAGTCAGTATTCTTCTTTTCCATTTCTTGACCTATTAATCACAAGAGAAATGTCTAATTTGGCTAGACCTAAGAATTTTAACGTCTCAAATGGAAATTAAGAATGTTTCTTCATGCATACCGTTGAAAAATTGCACAAAAATGTTAGTCAAGGCACTGTAGATAATATAACAAAAAAGTTTTTGAGGGTGCTTTTTTTAGGAGTTATTAGTGAAGGTGAGGGGTTGAATTTAGATGATGGATGTGATTTACAGATGAAAATTACGTGCATTTGGAGTTTATAAATAATTCAAAAAGTCAGAAGTAATTAGCTAGTAAATTGATTATTAGAATACCAAAAAATCTAAAATGCTGATTGTGCTTAAGCTGCCTAATTGCCTAAAGTTAGTTGTTTGTTCTAGAGCCACAAAATTAAGCAAACCCTAAAAATTGGATAAGACACCTTACTAGGAAAGATTAGGGAAATTAAATACTCTAATTTAACTTCTTACATCTTAAAACAATAAACTCATTCAAGACACTAACTTTACGTAATAAATTTGACTGAACATAGTGATTTTTGGATTCGTGAACCAGAAATTTATTTTATTCCTAAGTTCAAGCAAATCCTATTGAGTAAGTTTGATCTTCTTCTTCTTGATTCCTATGTTTTTAAATTTTTTTTCTTTCTATTTTATAGGTAAGCAAGTGTGATTTATCATTTACCATTTTGACAGTCACAGTTCATGTTATGTATAAATCAATTTAGATCAAGGTAGTAATTAAGTTTCCTTGCTGAATTGAATTGCTTAATTTTTTTTTTTTTTTGAATGAAATGTAACATATGTTGAATTCAATTAATGTTATGTTTGGCGGCATCGAATCGGCGCTTTAAATTTAGAATTGACAAAAAATTAATGTAAATTTTGAACTAAAACTTCATTACAACCCGAATACAAAATATCGATTTGGTGCCCCAAACATAACATAAATGTTTATATCATTAAATCAAGTACTTCGGTAAAATCCATATTAATTATATTTTCTCAATCCTATTCATAATGGTAGAACTTTTCATGTCAATTTACTTTCACTCCAAATATTGTGTGTATATATTGTTTTCTCAAATGATCGACTGGCAGAGTGGCCCTCCCTTTCATACCATGTTTTTGCATATTATCCCAACAATATTCGAAACCTTTTCCTCATTCATTCAATCTAGAAAGAATGTCAATTATCCGAACAAGTTGCTGGAATTTCACAAACGCTTCTCCAAGGTGTAAGACATATGTATGGAACAAAGTTATAGCTGGAATTTCAACCCTTTGCAAAATTTGCTGTTTTGCATTTCTGTTTCATTTGACGCAAAAATAACATTTTTGTTGTGGTGTGTGTTCATTTGTAATTGAAAGCCTAAAATTTGTTATAAGATTCAAAGACATAAAAACATACTAAAAATTTATTACGTCAAAATGTTGCAGTCACAAAAATGACTGGTTAAAAAAGCAAGCTACAGTGTTTGAGCTACAGTATATTCGTGCAAAAACATTATAAAACACCAAATTAATATTTTCTTTGGACATGTTTCGAAAAACACATCTGTTACACTTCAAATGTCTCTAGCCGAACATGTTGTATGCAGTGTTTTGTTTTGTTCTGCATAAGGAAAAAAAGCAACAAAAGTATTTATTTATTTATTTATTTATTTTTGAAAGGTAAAGATAAATTTATTGATAAAGAAAAATTTTTCGTTGAAAGTTAGCCCAGGCTAACCAAGCAAGAGACTCCCCAAAACAAGCCACAACCTAGACAGCCCAATACGAAACAAGAAACTAATATAGGTTGAGTCACTATGCAGTGAGCATGGAAGTTGTGAACTCCCCCAAATCACCTTCAAATTCTGTCAGGTGGTTTAGCCAGTGGACGAATAACTGAAGAAGGGAGGTCCCATTCCTCAATAACACGCCTTGCAGATGGAGAGTCCGAGACTGCTGAGGATATGAGTTTCATCCTGATCATGTCCAATGTTTGATGGAAATGGTAAATGATGGTGTAGTGATGCAGGTTTGGATCCAATGAATGAATAGATGTGGAAACCCCATCAGTTTCATTGATTGCAGGAGGAAGGTCCATGAAACTAAGTCAAAGGCTCTTCTGAGATCAATCTTTAGGGCACA